TAGTATTAATGATCAAGACATAATAAAACATAAAATTTCCATAACACATATAAAGTCAGGACAGCTTGTAGGGCACTTTGAAAACAATTGTAAAGGAAAATCAAGACAGTTAATATGCACTCTTCTTGATAAAATTTACTTGCAACTGTTCACGGCATTGTACAGCTGGGGAAATAAAAACAAATATAGACACAGTAAACCGTTATGAAACCAAACAAATATTGAAAAACAGACAGTGCTACAGATCATTTACATCTAGACGCTCCCGTCTGGCCACAAATTGTCATAAACATCACAGAGAAAGTCAGCTCTATCAATGCATCGGGGAAAGTATGCAAACATGGTTTACCTGTACATACTGACAACAGAGTTCCTTCACTCGGTCACTGTTCAGTTCAAACGGTATTTTGTACAATTGCTTCATGTATTTCATTCCATCTGAGGACTCTGTCTATAGTGGAAATTGATACTGACTGAACATTTCCAAAGATAGTGTCATTTTCTAGGACAGTTCTTTGTATTTCTCACAGTCTCAAAGCATTGTTTGCAGCCACCATTGCACAAATTCCTTCCTCTTGCTGCGGAGTCAAAATGGGACCTATGCTAGGTTGTCTGACAATCCTTTAAGGTGCAGATTAAAAAAAACATAAATAAGCTCAAACATGCTTACAGTAATTGTAACTGCACTGTCATTCAATACTCCTTTCTTTTACAGTATTACTGTATTGTACCACTGCACACTACGCTACACCAAGTCTGAGCCACAGTTACTGTACATCTATATGTAAAAGCCTATAAGGTCATGTCCCAATGCAAGTCTCCTGTATGACTATGATAGTGCAGAGCAAGTTTGTGCTACATTACAGTTTGCTCACCTGTTCTCCTGAAGAAATGAATGAACAATGAAATGATGAAATGTCTGAATAATAGAACTTACTGTAGTTCTCCCAACATTTGGCTGCACCCTTCGGCCAGCCTCAGCCATCGTGATGCCATGGTTTATCACATGATCCACAAGTGTTTCCCTGATTTCGTCAGGAATCTGTCTATGTGGTTGGCCTCTTCTTATTCTTCCCCAGTTTTGTCCCCCTTCCTCTACGCATCCTCACCCCTCTTCCACAAGGCTAACCTTCCATGTTCTGCAGTTTTGTAGATACAGTGTGCACCTCATACCAATCCTGTGTACTGGTTTACAGTATTTATTTATATGTACTTGTAAAGTAGGGGTTAGCGCGATTCACCTGTTAGGGACTGTGTAGAAGAGGATTTTCATTGGTTGCAACACACACCTTTTTTCATTAGTGTAAGATAAGGTTCACCTGAGAAAAGTCATTTATGGAGATTTTCATGGAAACTCTTTAAAACAGGGTTATCAAAATGGGTGTACAAAATGTTTGACAAGATGTTCAACAATTTTGAGTGAAATGACACAAGCAATGAAATGAAGATTAGTTGTATGAACAATGACTATTCAGCCTGTACAAGTATAGTTAATTGTGACATACATGATGAAAGCAAGGTGATAATGATGAATAGCAAGTCAAAAGTGACCATTCCTAAGATATTTGGACTTACTCAACTGCTTCATGTCCAAAGGCAAACATGCCTTTGGATGAAATGAACGTGAAACTGCCACTAGGTTGTGCCAAAACTACTACATGTTGTGGAGATTTTACTAACTGTTGTGCAAAGTGTAGCGTACCAAAAGGGCCAATTTTCACCTATAAATTGATCAACATAATAACCTTTCATCTACAACATGAATCCACTTCCTATGTGGCCTTCTAAATCCAGAAGGTTCTACTCAGCGTGTGTTGACATTCCATGAAGACAAAACATTCAAATAGTCACTCTGTCCCAAGGTCCTGCACTCTCTGCTCAGAAGCCACACAACAGTCTTCACTCTGAATAAGTGAAGACTCCACAATTTTATAGTTATAAGTTAAATAATCATATGTAATGAATGAACAAGATGTTTAAATGAAATGTTTGAATAACCTGTGCTTTAATCAATGAATTTGAAATGAATGTTGTTCTTACAATAATCCATTCATATCACAAATCACCATGTGTTTGATTTAACAAGTTAATCATTGTTTACACTCATACACAGTACAATAAGATTCTCATTTAGGTTAAAAACATTTTTGTAACTTAAGGAAGGCGTGGCTTTCTGAGGGATGTTGGTAAATACTCAGAAATGTGTCAAATTCTGATTTGCCAAACTTGGCCAGAAATCATAACAAAGTAGTTTAATAAAACAAAAATTACATCCCGAGTAATTCAGTTTCCAGCTGACCCTCAATTCGGCCAAATTGAGAAAGATACCTCTTTTGAAACAAACTCCTTTGATCTTAAGTCAAAACCTTTCTGCGATGCTGCAAGTGATTACTGGCACAACAGCTCTTTTCAGAGCTACTTCAACTCTCAGACGTCCACCTTGGACACCTAATCTGCAGATCCCAGGTTGCATCTCATGGCCGGGGAAGCTGAACTCAGAGGAAGCTACTGATCTCTGAGTACTGTGGTTTCGACGTCTGGTGACCTCACCACTCTGAATTGAATGGAGATTGGGCCTATGCCCATCTTTGGCCTTTTGGAAAGGACAAAAACTGACAACCACTCAGCCAGTTGAGTCATTTCTGTTTATAACCTTCCCTCCAACATGATTGAGACATTTGACTGTTTTGTGATTATTTAACTTTATTTTTTTTACTTATTCCACCTTTAAATATCAAATCAACAAACTCCCAATTTAAACTATTAAATAGGAAATCCTATGAACATGAACAATTCAAAGAACTCAACATTAGAAATGCAAGAAAAATTAGTTGATTTTGTTGCCCCATCACCATTGCTCATACTTAATTTTTTCTGGGTCACAGCGCCCCCACGTGGACAGGAGACTAAAAAAATCCTGAGGAAGACTTTTCTCACCTGCCTTACAAGAACACACTAATGTGAACACATGGGTTCGTTTTAAAATAAATATTATTAGGATCATTATTGTAGTCGTTAATAACTATTTATAATATTAGTTTATTGAAGTGGAATATTAGCGGACGGTTGTAATGGACTGTAAGATACCGGTATATCTAAAATGTAACACTTGTTTCTGTGGATGTGATTCTGACAATAAAAAAATACACCGTTTTAAGAAGAACACGTACTTCTTTTTCAGGTCTCCTAAATTCATCTGTTTGTTAAAGTTCTCACTCAATCCTTGAAGATGTCTCTCAGATTTTGACTTTTGAACAGCACATTATCACGTCGTTACCCCAGATGACCACAAGGTGACGCCATTAACCCACAATTGTCTGACCCCACAGCTATTTCTCTCTGAACCCACCAAGGATCAGGTTCGGCCTCTGGTCGAGCCATGTTGTCAGGGTAAACCAGTCATCCAAAAATTAAAAGTTTCTGGGCAACGGTGTCAGCTGTGAGTGTCACCATGTCGAATGTCTCCTAGTAGTGATGTGTGGGTCGCAAACAAACCGGCTCTAAGAGCCGGCTCGTCATTGGGAGCAACTTGGGAGCTGAAAGAGACGGCTCTTTTTGGTGAGCTGAGCCAAAAGAACCGGCTCTCTAAAAAGAGCCATAATTCCCATCACTCCTACTATATCTCCAACCTGCTGGAGAAGGACTTCCACTGACAAAGACTTCAGGTGAAGTAAAAGTTTGTGAGCAGCTCTGAAGTGAGTTGACAATTTTTAGCCTGATTGACATCACGTGATTGTAATTTTATTCGTGTGTGGGAAGTAGATCCAGAGGTCTGCAGTAAAATATTTATTCATTTAGTGGAAACTAGGTCAGATTTGAGTTTATTATTATTAAATAATAATAATAATAATTTAAGGTGCTTTTAATTGTTCCATATATTTTAAAGTTACATATTATATCAGAAGTTTTGGTATTTCTGCCAAAAAGGAACATAAACAACACCAAAAATTCAGGGCCACCTTAACAAGCTGATAGGCCCCGGGGCAGAGAGGCTCAGTAGGCCCCCCACGTGGGGAAACGTGCATTGGTGGAGGTGCTCTAGATCAGTGGTTCCCAACCTTTTTTCACAAGGATCCCCTTTCCTGTGTCCAAGCAGTGCCCCGCCAACCCCAACCCCTACGCCAATGCACACAATTAACAGTGAATAATTACAAACTTTAAACGGACATACAGATTTATGCTTCTTACAGAGAGTTTCGATTCTACTATTGGGTGTGTTATCTGGATTTTTAAATGGAATTTTTATAAATATAATCTTGGTAACCTCACATCCTCAGCACACACAAAATTGTGCGGCCCCCCTGCAACCTTTTAGTGACCCCCTGGGGGGTCATGGACCCCAGATTGGGGACCACTGCTCTAGATAACTGTTTTTGTCAGGTGATTGGATTGGATTTTTGTCAGCAGTTGTCCTTGCCTTTCATTTTCTGTCCCTGAAACCCTTATTCATGCATGCATCAACCACAAATCCACTAATACAACAGTATCTTCTATGGTATCTCATCGAAAACCCTCACTGTTGTAAGTTCACCAGTATGATAATGATGAAGCAGTATATTCAGTTAACGTGGTTTTATTAACCAGCAGAACAGCAGACAACTTACATGCATGGACTCACTAACCGAATGCCCCCTGTACCAGTCAACACATACACAGACCTACCCGGAGGTACGGCAAGCAGATTAGAACAAAATACTAAACAGCAGGTTGTCTACATCCCCCTTCTTTAGTACATCCCTAACCGGATATAAAGTTTAATGCATGCTAAACAACAATAATCACAGCATTAAAAGGTGACATCCACTGATCCTTGGAAACATTTAAATTTGTAATCAGATGGAAGAAATAAACATGACAAAATATCATTTTGCTGCATAAAGTTAAAAATGATTACAACTGAAAATTACCTCAACCAGAATTTTAACTTGAAACGTGGACATCAGTTACTGTAGAATTGAACATCAAACCTGAACAAGTTCTGTGTTATAACTAGTACTCAATTAATCCCTATATCTTGGATTTGGTTTGCATACACGACCAAAGCGTGTCCTATAAACACCATCACTCCTGGAAGGTCCTGGAGAATGCAAAACATCAGAAGAGCTCTCAACATGAGTGCTGTCTTTAAATGGTTCTACATCATTGTTTTCACCCCCACCCTGCAGTCCATCATCATGATGATGATCAGTGCCTTCCTGAGCAGTAACAGGCTCAGACACAGGCAAAATGTGTCTGCGATTTCTCCTGTAAATGTTCCCATCTGACTGTACCAGGTAGGATCTAGGTTCTTTACAAAGTTCCTTCACCACACCTGTGCGGTCATAACCCTGTGGGGTCTGTAACCTCACTATTTGTCCTTCTTCAAGAGGTGGAAGTGGTCGGCTGGATCTGTCGTAACAGACCTTCTGAGTCAGTCTCTTGTTGAGTAGCTGGGCTTTCACTTTCTCAGATCCACGGTGTTGTGGTTCGAGCAGTTTGGTCATGATTGGGAGTGTAGTTCGAGTCTGTCTGGATAGAAGTCGTTCTGCAGGTGAACCCAGGTTCACATCACGTGGAACATTCCTGAGATGCAGCAGGTTGAGAAATACATCGGTGCCATCTCTGTGAGATTTCTCCATCAGCTGTTTAGCACTGTGCACTGCTCTCTCAGCAAGCCCATTAGATTGAGGATACTCTGGACTGCTGGTGACATGTCGAAAGTCCCACTGTGAAGCGAAGTCTTTGAAACGCTGGCTTGTAAACTGCCTTCCATTGTCTGAGATCAGAGTGTGTGGAGCACCATGAACTGAGAAGTGTCTTTTCAGCTTTTTAATGACTGTCGCTGATGTCAAATCCTTTAGCAGGTCAATCTCAAACCAGCCTGAGTATGAGTCGACTACTACTAAATAATGCTGACAGTGCCACTCAAAGATATCTGTAGCTACAGTTGACCAAGGGAGATCTGGAACTTCATGCAGATGAAGGGACTCTTTTTGTTGATGAGGTTTAGTGCTGTTGCACACCGAGCAAGAAGTAACTGCTTGTTCAATGTCTCTTGACATGAACGGCCAGAAAACGATCCCCCGCGCTCTCCGCTTGGTAGCTTCCACGCCAGGATGTCCTCTGTGCATAATGGTGATGTAGTCTCCTTGCAGCGATTTTGGGATCACGGCTTTGGTACCTTTAAGAATGATGCCATCATCCACAGTCAGCTCATCCCTGAAAGGAAAATATGGATGAACCGCCGTGGGAAGGTTGTGGAGTCGTAGTGGCCAACCATGTTTGATGAACGAGCTGAGCACTTGCAAGGTCTCATCCTCGGCCGTGTGTCTTTTAAGTTCCTCCAGGCGTGAAGAAGAAATGCAGCTCACCGTCATGACATCAAAGTTGTCCTCTTCCTCAGACTGCTGGAAAGTGCTTCTGCTGGGAGCACGAGACAGCGTATCAGCCAGATACATTTGTTTTCCACATTTATATGTGAGTGTTATGTTGTATTTTTGGAGCCTTAACAACATCCTCTGCAATCTGGCTGGTGCGGCGTGAATAGGTTTCCTTAGTATGGTGACTAGTGGCTGATGGTCTGTTTCTACAGCTACAGGCTTGCCATAAATGTAGTCATGAAACTTCGTACATGCGAAAACGACAGCCAGTAGCTCTTTCTCTATCTGAGCATATCTGGTTTCAGTGTCTGTCAGAGTACGTGAAGCATACGCTACAGGTTGCCCTTCCTGTAAGCAAGCTGCACCAAGGCCATACTGTGATGCATCGCATGTTAGTGTCACAGGTTTGCTGACATCATAATATGACAGAACAGGTGGACTCGACATGTGCTCTCTAAGTGCGTCGAATGCAGCCTGATGCTGTGTGTCCCACATCCACTCACTGTCCTTGTGTGTGAGCTGTCGCAGAGGAGCTGACAGATGGCTGAAGTTTGGAATGAACTTTCCAAGATAATTGACCATCCCCAGGAACCTCTGCAGGGCTTGGACATCCGTTGGAACTGGCATTTCTTTGATTGCGGCTGTTTTGGAAGGGTCAGCTTTAAGTCCCTCGCTTGTGAAAATGTGTCCGACATAACTGACCTGATTCAGCCGGAATTTGCACTTTAGTGGGTTTAGTCGCAGGTTTACTTCTCTGGCACGATCAAGGACTTTTCTCAGGTTGTCGTCATATTCTTTTACAGTTCTTCTGCCGATGAGTATATCATCAACAATGATGGCACATGGATACCCAGCGAATATCTGCTCCATGGCTCGCTGAAACACCTCGCTGGCAGCATTAAGACCAAAAGGCATTCTGAGAAACCTGTAACGACCAAAACAAGTGCTGAAGGTGGTCAGCATGGATGATTTCTGATCCAATGACACCTGCCAAAAAGAGTTCTTAGCATCCAACACAGAGAACACAGTGGCATTTGACATTATTGCAGCCACTTCTTCCACTGTGCGCATTGGATGATGTGGTCTTTTCAGTGCTGTGTTTAAGTCTCGAGGATTTATGCATATCCTTATTTCATCTTTGCCTTTCTTGTTGGTGGCTACCATAGAAGACACCCAGTCTGTCGGCTCTGAGACGGGAGTAATGACGCCTAACTTCTCCATCCTGTCCAACTCTGCCTTGACTCTGTCTTTCATGGCCAAAGGGATGCGATGTGCTGGGCGAACAGCTGGTTTCACATCTGGGTTCAGTGTCATGCGATAGGTGACTGGCAACCTTCCAAGCTCATCAGAAAATAAGTCGCTGTATTCCGTGATAAGCTGTTGTGACAGGTCATCTGTGGACGTACTCAATTGGTGGACATCATTGCTGAATGATACAAGTCCCATTTCTCTGCATGCACATAGTCCAAGTATTGGCTGAACATCTTCATTAACGACAAAGAATGATAGCACATGTGACTGCCCATGCAGAAAACATTGCAGCTTAATTACGCCTGAGGATTGAATCTTGCTGCCTCCAAATGCTACTAGGTTAACGGACTTGGGATGAGCTTTTATTTGTTTATATGCTCTTATAATGTTAACTGTTTTCATGGGAAGCACATTACATTTAGCACGTGTCCACTTTCATCTCAACAGGAATCCCATTAATCTGCACTGTGACGAAAACTTCCTCTTTGTGTTCCACATGCACATCAGTCGCATGGATTGCATATTGCAGGTTTATTCCATCAACATAGAATGTGTCATCTCCGCTGTCGTCAGCTTGGTCAGGTTCCACATGATGGACTGACTTTCTGTGTCCTGTTACATTACATTTTGGGTAGGTTGAATGGCTCTGCACCATTTCTTAAAATGATTCCACTTTTTGCATGCATGACACTGCTGTCCAAAAGCCGGACATTTACTCTTTTTTGCAGCATGAACACCCCCACAGTTAGTACAGTTAGTGATATGCTGTGTTTCAGAACTGTCTCCTTGATTTTTCATTTTATCTCCTCTGTGCTGTCTTGAAAATTTGGGCTGGAGCACGTCAACATTTGTTGCAGATTGTTGAGGAAATGCAAGTGTTTTAGTATGCTCTTTAGTCATTTCATGAATCTGGCAGACTGAAATGGCTTTTGCAAGTGTTAAATCACTGTCACGCAGTAGCACTTTCCTTAAATTGGCATTGTTGATGCCACAAACTAGTCTGTCTCTTATTAGTTCATCACTCAGATCACCAAATCTGCAGCTTTATGCTTTAATCCGTAAATCACTCACATATGATTCAACAGTCTCCCCAGTCCTCTGATTCCGCGTGTTGAACTTGTGTCTTTCCATCGTGACGTTGGTTTGTGGACTGCACATTTCTCTGAATTTTCTTTTGAGGCACTCAGGATCCTCCTTCGATTCTGCAGGAATGAGAACTCGTCTTCTATCGCCGGGCTCTCTCACTTCTGGCGCCATGTTGTAAGTTCACCAGTATGATAATGATGAAGCAGTATATTCAGTTAACGTGGTTTTATTAACCAGCAGAACAGCAGACAACTTACATGCATGGACTCACTAACCGAATGCCCCCTGTACCAGTCAACACATACACAGACCTACCCGGAGGTACGGCAAGCAGATTAGAACAAAATACTAAACAGCAGGTTGTCTACACTCACCAAACTTGAACACATCCAGAATTCTGCTTCCCATCTCCTAACCACACCTGCTCCAATGACCACATCTCTCTTGTCCATTCAACACCTCCACTGGCTTCCTCTCACTCAGAGCTCCTTTACTGTGCCCCATTTCACTCCCCCCTCTCCCTCCCCTACCCACGACCAAGTTTTGAACCTCATTTAAAACGGTTTTAAGTCTACTTTCATTGTTGCATAATCTGCTTGTTTTATCTGGATTTTTACAGCTTCTCTGATCTGTTGAAGACAGGTCTTGAAATAGCTTGCTATGACATTTTGACTTTTGTAGGCTATATGGCAGTAAACCACACTGGAACTGCCCCCATGGCTCCTCTGGTCAGAGTTAATCTGTTTTCTCTCAATGAGCAGTCTAGACAGATAAGATGTTGGTTGGGCAGTACTACATAAATCTAGCCTTGTAAATTAGACCTAAATCTTGCTTTGCAAAGTTTATAAATAATATATTTATTTAGTCAGGTTTGCCAGGCTAACAGAAATCCACATCAGAACACTTGAGCTGCCCTTTTAAACAGAGGATGATAAAAACAAAGTTAATCAATAGGCCACGCCTTCTTTTTTTTAAGAAAGAATGGGATTTATGGTTTTATGAGTGGGCATTTAGATAGCTTTAACTTTTTTAACAGTTGTTTGTTGATTTGATGTTATTGTAGCTGAAACTGTTTAGATTAAAACCCACTCGCTTAAAAGTTTAATCAATGAACTCGGAGAAACCATCACACCAGCATGTTGTCCGATCCGATTCACCCCTCTGTGTCTGAGCTTAATGGTATGATCCGCTTTATCAAGAGCGAAGGCATTGAGTGAATCTGACAAACTCCGAAGTCGAAGCTGCGTAGTTAGGTCTTCGAAGTCAAACAGCAGCAATGGCGTGGGCTCCGATGGAAATCAACCCGGAGGTGAAGTAAAAAAGTGACTTCATTAACTTCTTAACGCTTTCATAGACAGAAATTTTACTTTTACATCTTTATCGTTTTAGATGATGAACAAGGTGGGTGTGGAACTCTAGACTTCACTGTAACCGTTATTTGTGACCGACAGGTAAGTTGGTATGAGTTGGGCAGCAGGCAGCAGCTTTGGTCTTCAGGCCCGCTAACTAAAGCGAATGGTGATGACCAACTATCTTCTGAGTAAAATGTAAGTGTTGGGCTTTTAAAAGTCGTTTTTCAGAGCGCGCGACAGCTAGCTAGATGTTTGAAAGGGCGTTAGCAGCCGTTGCAGCATCCCTGTCTCTGCCCCTTGTCTGGACTTCAGGGTGTGGTCTGACTGGACCAGTAGCTTCTCTGGCGTCAGAAGGCACTTATATTTTTTTTTAAATTTGCGTTATTTTCGTTTCATTTGTTATTCTTGTGTTTCAGAACATGAGAAAGCTTGGCGTCGGTGGGAACTGGTGCTTCGTTGACGTGCTGGGGCTGGAACCCGAACAGCTCGGTGCCGTCCCAAAACCATGTTGTGCCTTGATGCTTCTCTTCCCCCTTACTCAACAGGTAATTTGGGTGGCGACTACTTCCTGGAAAGGATGTCGTAGATTCCTGGCTAATCGAATGAATGAAGAGAGCTGTGATGTTGCTGGGATGAGACCGGGAGTGTGAGGACGTGAATCAGCAAATGCTCATTATGTATAGAATGGTCTCTACTTAAAAGTAATCAGGAGGTTCTGTATTATTGATCAAAATGTAACAGCAAGTCAGCAAAAATCTATAATACTGGGCTTTAATAAGGCAGATCTCATAGTGTAATAAAAATGACACTATGTAAGTTACACTTCGGTTTTAGATTATGGGAAAATTTATCTAGAAGTGCCTTTGATCATTTGGTTATAATCTTATTTAATTTTGTCACTGTTAAAATAATACAGTTAAAAGCTAAATTAAAACATATTTGTTCATCTCTGTTGTAAAAAGGAGTTTTATTAACTAATTTTCTTGGGTATTGATGTTTGAAGGAACAGAGTTGGCTGGAGATCATGTGCTCAAGGGTGTGTGTGTGTGTGTGTGTGTGTGTGTGTGTGTGTGTGTGTGTGTGTGTGTGTGTGTGTGTGTGTGTGTGTGTGTGTGTGTGTGTGTGTGTGTGTGTGTGTGTGTGTGTGTGTGTGTGTGTGTGTGTGTGTGTGTGTGTGTGTGTGTGTGTGTGTGTGTGTGTGTGTGTGTGTGTGTGTCAGCATGAGTCTTTCAGAGCTCAGCAGGCAGACAAGGTTTCGACAGACTCGGATGTTTACTTCCTGAAGCAGACTGTTGTAAATTCTTGTGGCACCATTGCTCTGGTGCATGCTGTTGCCAACAACCAGAGCAAATTGAGTTTTGGTGAGTGGCAAATTTGTGTGGTGTTTCTTTTCTTTAAAGGTAGTGGCCAGACTCGGCATTAAAATTGTAGAAATACAGTACACTTTACCATCTATATAAATACGAACTGTGTTCAGTTTTTCATTTTGTTCAGGAATTTAGTCCTAAATCATTACAGAAAATCAAAGTTCTCTCCTCCAGGCAGTGAAGAACTGTGTTTTGCATACGTCACTCACACACATCATACTAGGTAGCTGCTGTTGCTAGCATGGTAACTCACTGTATTTTGTTTACTATCGTGTTCCTAATTAAAACAGAAAATGGTGTTTACAGCTGCAGCTAAAGGTCTGAGCCATATGTCCGTGTTCTGCACGTATTTTTAAATAACATATGTCTGATCTAAAATAATAACCTACATCTATAAAATCCATCTAGAACCGCACCGGTACTTCTGGACTCCAGCAGGCGAGTCCCGTTAGCATGATTGCCGGAGCACGAACTGTGTTGGCTCCGGTAAAGGAATAAACAAGTAATTTGTGAAAGCTACAACACACACACACGCACACACAGTTATGTAATCTAAAAGATGATCCCCATTTTTCAACAATAGATCCTCCTATAGGACCGGTAGAACCTCCGTGTCATCCTGGATTAGAAATCAACAATCCGAGCTAGCGAGTTAGCATTAGGAAGATTTGTCCTGGTAAGCAATTGGTTAAATATTTTCCGATGTTATATCAATAAATGCACACAGCGGTAAAGCTGGCATCACATTATTTTACTCATCTGTAGATGACTGAATTATATTGGGACAATGTGATGGAGCTAATAAGGGTGAGCCAAGATGGCGGGAGTGCAGGCTGGTGGCTCTTCAGCTCCAGCAGGCTTGAGAGCCTTTGGTGGACCCAGAGCTAAACCAGTGATTTATAACACTTCTGATGGCAAGACTCTTGTTGAAGATGAGTTTTTAAATTTTCTTGTTAAGATGAAAACGTTATGCCATGGTGACATCATTTTGCTTGCTGTGAAACACTTTGGTTCGGAGTGGATTGAGGCTTCAAAGAAGGTCCTCCATGATTTATGCCCGAGCCCAACGCTGCGTCTAGTAACGCACAAAGGCCCTCAAAAGGACATTAACAACGTGAAGAGCTGCTTGAAGCTTCTTAATGAGGCCGGCGAAAACATCCCCCGCTTTGTGTCGCATCATCTGGACGAGCTTCCCACAATTACTTTTAGCAGTATGGATGTCTCCTGCCTGCTTGGTAAAATTGAGAAGCTAAGCACTGATGTTTCTCTGTTGACGCAAGCGATGTCTACCCAGACGAGTGTCTGCGAAAATCTCCGTGTGGTGACAGCTAACATGAGTGATCGCCTGGGCGCGGTAGAGCAACTTGGTGTGAACGGCGGAGGCAACCCGCCTTGTTCCGATCAGCTGGTGACGTGTCAAAGGATGGAGAAGACGGCGCAGCAGATCGGAGCTACTGCTGAGGTGCAAACGGCTTCATCACCTGCTTCGGGCGGTGGGGCTGGTGCCCGAACGGTGAGGAGGGATCCGGTGGTTTCAAATAATGTGGGGGGTTTGGATCCGAGTAACGCTTCACCTGCCTGGAGTCAAGTTGTTAAAGAAGGACGCTGTCCAAAGCGGGCTCCAGATGACGGCCCTGCGCAACTAAGGCCTAAACGGAATTTCGCTAAGAGGCATGTTGTCGTGGGATCCTGTGCCGGAGGAAGGATCAAAGTTTTAAAAACGAAACTGGTGAGTGTCTTCGCAACGAAGTTCTACCCTGATCTTATGCCGAGTGTGCTGGCTGACTATCTTAAAGAAAAACTACATCGTGAGGTGCGGTGTGAAAAGATTAACAACAACCAGAGCCGATGTAGTTCCTTTAAAGTTTCGGCAGAATGTGAGGAGGTATCTGAACTGTATGATCCTCAACTGTGGCCTGAAGGAACCTTCGTGAGGCGTTTCTAGGAGAAGCGCAGAGCTGTGGCTGCGAGTGGGCCCAGTGGGGAGCCACTTACTCAGGGAGCATCCAGTAAAGCATGAGAATTGTGTCATATAACTCCCGTGGCCTGCGCCTTGGTAACGGGGCTGGGGATAGGGCACGTCGTATTGTTGTCGATAAACTTTTGGAAGATGTTGACATTTTATGTCTGCAAGAGACAATGCTGCCCAAACAGAACCTGGATCGGTTAAACTCCTTTCACTGCAATTTTTTTGGTGCTGGGGAGTCCACTACTGATCTGTCATCTGGAATTATTCAAGGAAGGATACCTGGAGGCGTGGCCATCCTATGGCACAAGGATTATGATCCTTTTATTTCTGTCAGGCTAAATGTGGACTGGTGCATAGCAGTAAAAATTGTTATGGATGACAAGGTATTCATGATCTTAAATATTTATATGCCATATGAGAGTCAGCAGAATGAAGATGAATATCTGGCGAAACTTGGTTTTTTAAGCTCATTTATCAGTCAGTGCGAGTTTAATTGTGTTTTTATTGTTGGTGATATGAATGCTGATATTTCAGACACTCGCTCCACCTTTGGGCAACATCTGATTCAGTTTTGTGTAAATAATAACTTGGTTTTAACTAGCAAAGAGAGACTGCCAGCAGACAGCCACACGTATGTCAGTGAGGCATGGCACTCAACTTCCTGGCTTGATCACTGTATATGCACTGAGGATGCACATGAATGCATATCCAGGGTGGAAATCTTATACTCCCTGGCAACAACTGATCACATCCCTGTTTCCTTAGTGGTAAACTGTGAATCTTTGCCTGTGCTGCTCCAACACCAGAGCCCCTCACACACAGAGAAGCTTACTTGGACTAAAGTGTCAGTCGAGGATATTAGGAAATATTACCTACTGTCAGATTGTAGTCTGAGATCTGTTAATGTCCACAAAGAAACGTTACAGTGTAAAGATGTTAACTGTGAACATATGGAGCACAGGCTGCACTTATGCACTTTGTATCAAAATATTGTGGACAGCTTGATTATTGCCAGCGAGTTCCTCTGCCAGCAAGGATCAACAAAATTTAAACCGCTTCCAGGATGGAGTGAGCATGCTTATGTGTTACATGCTGAGTCCAGAGCAGCCTATAAAGCCTGGGCAGCTGCTGGTAAACAAAAATCCGGTTCAATATTGGAGTCTAAGAAAGCCGCGAACGTTAAGTTCAAGAATGCTGTTCGCTATATTAAAAGAAATGAGTAAACAATGCGGGCAAACTCCTTAGCGAACAAACTAAAGAATAATGATGTTTCGGAGTTCTGGAAGGAGTTAAAACGCTCCTGTATCAGTAAGCAGCTGCTACCTGCATCTATAAATGGGGTATCAGGAGACAAGAACATTGTTGAAGCCTGGAGGAATCACTTTAGCAGAATTTTTAACTGTGTAAATAGTGAAAGGTTCAATCTTGGCAACATTAACTACAATCATGGTATGATTGTCAGAGCTGATGAAGTCCGTCTCGCTATAGAGAAAATGTCGTTAAACAAAGCTTGCGGCCCGGATCAACTATCAGCAGAGCACATGAAGTACGCTAGCTGTAGAGCTCAAGTGTTACTTTCATTGTGCTTTACCGGCTTTTTGAAGCATGGAATCTTGCCTGACCATATGTTATCTGTTCTCTTAGTCCCTATAGTCAAAGAGAAAACTGGAAAAATCGCCTGTATTGATAACTACAGGCCTATTGCTATGGGAAGTGTGTTGTCCAAGGTGTTTGAGCATATTTTGCTGGAAAGACTGCAGAATTTTATAACTACGACAGAGAATCAGTTTGGTTTTAAAGGTAAACTTAGTACTGACTTGTGTATTTATGCTTTAAAAGAAACTGTAAGCAAATACATGAGGCATAATACTTCTGTTTTTATGTGTTTTTTAGACGCCTCTAAGGCCTTTGACAGAGTCAATCATCAGAAATTATTCATCAAGCTACAAAACAGAGGGGTCCCTTCTTACCTAGTTAGGATTTTGCACTTCTGGTACTCTCATCAACTGATGCAGGTAAAGTGGGGGACAGAAGTGTCGGATCCTTTCTCCGTATCAAATGGAGTCAGACAAGGCGGGATTCTGTCACCTGTCCTTTTTAACCTGTACCTTGACGAGTTGTCTGTTACTCTGAATGCTAGTAAGACTGGATGCTTGGTGGGTGACCGACTGGTAAATCATTTAATATATGCAGATGACGTAGTCCTCAGGTCTCCCTATAGCGCAGGCCTGCAGCAGCTGCTCAGGGCATGTGCTAAGTATAGTGAGCAATTTGACATCCTGTTTAACCCTAAAAAGAGTGTGGTTATGATTGCTGCTACTAAAGGGGACCTGAAGCTTAATTTTCCATCTTTTAACTTAACAAATCAGGTCCTGGAAGTGGTAAGCAAAGTAAAATATTTGGGGCACATTTTAAGAAGTGACCTCTGTGCCGAATGTGAAGCGGCTGGGATGAGGATCAGCACCTCCAAATCTGAGACCATGGTTCTCGACCGGAAAAGGGTGGCTTGCCTCCTCCGGGTCGGGGGAGAGGTCCTACCTCAAGTGGAGGAGTTTAAGTATCTCGGGGTCTTGTTCACGAGTGAGGGTAGGAGGGATCGGGAGATCGACAGGCGGATTGGTTCGGCGTCTGCAGTGATGCGGACGCTGAGCCGATCTGTCGTGGGGAAGAGGGAGCTGAGCCAGAAAGCCAGGCTCTCGATTGACCGGTCGATCTACGTCCCAATCCTCACCTATGGTCATGAGCTTTGGGTAATGACCGAAAGAACGAGATCGCGGATACAAGCGGCCGAAATGAGTTTCCTCCGTAGGGTGGCCGGGCTCAGCCTTAGAGATAGGGTGAGGAGCTCGGACATTCAGGAGGGACTCGGAGTAGAACCGCTGCTCCTCCGGATCGAAAGGAGCCAGTTGAGGTGGTTTGGGCATCTGGTCAGGATGCCTCCTGGACGCCTCCCCGGGGAGGTGTTTCGGGCATGTCCTGCTGGCAGAAGGCCCCCGGGTCGACCCAGGACATGTTGGAGAGGTTACATCTCCAATCTGGTCCGGGAACGCCTTGGGGTCCTGCCGGAGGAGCTGGTGGACAAGGCCGGGGAGAGGACGGCCTGGAGCTCCCTAATTGGGATGCTGCCCCCGCGACCCGGACCCGGATAAGCGGAGGAAGACGAAGACGAAGACCTCTGTGATGACGAGGACATTAAGAGGCAATGCGGTAAGCTGTACATGCAGGCTAACACTCTGGCACGTAACTTTGGCATGTGCTCAGATCCTGTTAAAGTGTCCCTCTTTCGTTCCTTTTGTACTCCTCTCTATACAGCCCACTTGTGGTGCAACTATAGTAAGGTAGTAATGAAGAAGCTTCAAGTGGCTTATCAGGATGCTTTTAGAATCCTCATGAAGCTCCCTAGATGGACTTCGGCAAGTCGCATGTTTGTTACAAGTAACATCCCTACTTTTCATGCGCTTCTGAGGCTCTTCATGTACAAATTCATCTGCCGACTGAGTTTGTCAGCTAACGCGGTTGTTAGAGCTCTGTCATCTTTATCTTACAGTGACACGAGGTACTCCTCAGTCCTTTTTAAACATTGGAGCAACTGCCTATACGGTTTGTAATTAGAATGTGTTTGTATTTTATTTTTTATTCTTATGGACATATCCCTTGTCTGAAATAAAGTTTGATTGATTGATTGATTGATGGAGCTAATAAGCTGAGAACTTAACTAAAAGTTACCGATGGAGCACAGACATGAAATATTTAACAAACCATACCGATTTTGGATCAGCAGATTAACAGAAGCCTCCCCGGTGTCCTAATCGGGCCGCGGGTTTTCTGAGGGAAACGGTCCAAAGCGTCTGCACCTCTGGTTCTGATATCCAGCTGCAGGGCACGGAGTTCGGTTGAACGTCTCCGGTAATTCTATATCCATTCTTGTCGCCGTTTTCCAGAGAAAAAAGCAAATCTGACCGACTAGCAGAGGCTTCAGAAGCTACATCTGACTGACACATTGTTCTCTGCTATAACGCAGAAACGCCGGAGTCAGGCGTTGTTTACTATCGCTGTTTCAGCAAAGCGCCTTGTGAAACGTCACCAGCTGCCCAGGGCTTAGACGAAGTTTCTGTTTTTCCCGCGCCAGTAAAAACATCAGTTTTTCTTAAAATTCCAGCAGCGAAAATCCAGAAACCTTTTTCATCTGAGGTTTTAATACTTCTTTCCACATGCCATTCAAAGGAATTTTGCCTCTGGCCAATATCTTTAAAGGCGTGGAACTCTGGGAAAAAACATTTAGTTATTTCTGATTTATAATCAGTCACTTGAGTTTTTCATGCGAGCTGAACATGCATTAACGTCTGATAGAATGATGGTGAATCTCTAGGCTTTAAAAGTCCTGATAGCTCTATGTCACACTAGCTACGTTTACATGCACAAAATTTCCCTTATCCCATCCAAATCTTGGTTGATCAGAAATCCCAAATATGTTTAAATGGACACCAAGTGTAATGATCCAATCATTCCCTGAGTATACATGCACTAAGCATTCAGATTAAAAAGGTTGAGCATGTGCAGAGTTGTCTTTCTCCGGGGGAAAATTTTTGTAAACAAACGCTACCTTGTCCGCACGTCTTTTTCTTCACATTTTATTTTCTTAAGTTTTGTCAGTGATGTTTTATTTTTATTCCCCGTTATGGACCAGTTCTATTTACCTCCTACCATGTTTTTGACTTAACTGCGATGGTGGCACAGGAGTTAAGTGCTCATCCTGTAATCGGAAGGTTGCAGGTTCGAGTCCCGCTCAGTCTGTCACTGTCGTTGTGTCCTTGGGCAAGACACTTAACCCACCTTGCCTGCTGGTGGTGGTCGGAGGAACCGGTGGCGCCAGTGCTCAGCAGCCTCGCCTCTGTCAGTGCACCCCAGGGCAGCTGTGGCTACATTGTAGCTCATCCCCACCAGTGTGTGAATGTGTGTGTGAATGGGTGATTGACTGATTGTGTTGTAAAGCGCCTTGTTGGGTTCCAGAACTCTAGAAGGCGCTATATCAAATACAGGCCATTTACCATTTAACTTGAGCGTCTGCAAAGGCAGAAGACGTCAAGTTGCACACACCTGCAGTGGGCATTAACTCCAAAAATCTGAATGGGTGTGTACATGGACATTCATCGGAATGAGCAGACAAAACCATCTCTCAATCGGAATAAATTTTCATTCCGATCGGATCAGAATATTCCGATTGACATGTTAAAGAATTTTTGATCTGAGGGTTAGGGCGTTCTTTCCGATTACTTGTGCCCATGTGAACATTCATGGACTCGCCAATCTTGACTTGTGGTGGGGAAGGCTGTTTTCCAGAAGTTAGCAGACGTCTTGACTAGTACATGCTAACAATTAGCATTAGCAACACCACCACACAGGGAAAAACTTCTCCTGGCTTGTATTCGTAGAGATAAAACATCCATGTTGCAATTCAATGGTAGAGTTGCATTGCTGTTATCCAATCCGAGGCAAGAAGTCCAAATAACAGAAAATAAGGCTCGAGATCCTGCCATGTTTTACCACTCACTGCTGCAGCAGATTTGCTGGTGCTGATGCAAGTGGTACTGGGATTTTGTTTTGCCCAGAGTACAGCTAGCAAGGCATTATTCCTATCAGAAACTGCTGCAGATGTATTAAACAACATCCCCACACCTTTAACCAGTCTTTGTGACCTTTAGGGGCTTTATGTAACTAAACTTAAAACTTTCTAGCCCCATAAACATTAACACACTTGTCTGATTGCATGAAAGCTAGAACAAACTGATGCTAACTCCTACAAGATGGTTAAAAGAATGTATACATTCATTAGATAAGAAATTATTAAATGACTACCTGCCACTTTACTAATTTAAGCAAATTCGTGTGTTTTCAGAGACAGACTCTGTCTTGAAGGCCTTTTTAGACGAGACGGCCAACATGTCTGCTGCTGATCGTGCTAAACATCTGGAGAATAACAAGGTGAAGGAGGGGACTCTGAAGCAATGTTTCACTCAAGTGCAGATTTAATTTAAAAGAACCCTGAAATGAATACACATCAAATATGGAGCACCTAATTTCATTTGTAGTATTTTTGGCCACTTGAGGGCACCACAAACTCACAAGTCCAGCACATAATGTCCCAAGCAATGGCATATATACGGTCCCAAGTCATAATGGGTCACTTCTGTTATTTCTAGATTGAATCGTCATGTTTAAAGTACAATGGAAGACAAAATAAAATAAAAAAATTTCTGTCTAGGCAATCTGTGCGGCTCACAATGAGGTGGCCATGGAAGGACAATGCAGGGTAAGATGATGGCCACATTACCGTCTATGGTTGATGTTTTACATCACAGCAAGCATGAGTGTTTGTCTTAATTTCTCAGTAGTTGGCTGACCTGCTTTTATTACAAGTCCAGATGCATCGTGTTTTAGGGGTTCTGCTTCTTGGTTCACTAACGTTTGATGAATTATCGTACCAGCTTTTATAAATAAACGGTTCCATTCTTACTTGCATTATTAAAGCCCATGTGAAATGAGTTTGGATTTTAATAAGCCATTTTCTAAGCCGTTTTTTATTTTTAATTTATTTTTTGTATCTTAACAGCCTGAAGCTGACGAAGTCAACTTTCACTTTATTGCCTTTGTCAATGTAAACGGCCAACTTTATGAATTTGGTAAGCACTTGACCTAGTTTGCGTAGGTATTTTTGACATGGTGGGATTTCTAACAGCCTTTCTCATTTCTAAGATGGGAAAATAAACGGACCTGTGAACCATGGAGCAACCAGCGAAGACTCCTTTGTTGCTGTAAGTGAACTTCAGCATAATGCTTTACTGCGCTGAGGCTTGCTTTATTAGTGATTTGCTGTAGTTCGGGTTAGGCTAGAGCTGTAGTTCTTCATATTAACATAAGTGACGGTTCATGATCTAAAACATGCAGGAAATGTGCTGGGAGCAGACTGCAGCACACGGAGCATCCGGTCATTCTGAGGTTTAAATGGAATATTCTGGCCACAGGAGGCGATGAGGACTGGGTGTCCTTTATTAACCCAGTAAAAGGCTGTTTTAGCACATACTGGTTCAAGAAAATGATTAAAATATGAAAAAGTTAAAGTATCCCATTAAACTCGGGGCATGTAAGGCAGAGCGGACCAGAATCTTTATTTAGTTTTTAAACTCATTCATTGCCGACCATTTCCTAATCAGAAAAGCCCTTTGCTGCCAGCGATTTTCAGCGTTTTCGGTTTTTTAGTCACAGAAAGTTGCGCTCTATGATGTCAACCCCAAAACAAAGAAGACTCGCCTCTTACATCAGGAAGAATCTGCATTTCGAGCATTATCCGTTCTTTCGTAATCCATTGTCCAATTGTGATCGGCAGAAGCTTTTCCAGTTCGCACCTCACTTTTTTTACAGCAGCGGCCCAAAACTAACGCATGGGTTTTTCTGCTTCCTGATCACGTGACGTACGCGGATGAGGATCTGCTTTAGGGCTGGGATGTTGGTTCTCACGGTGTAGGGGCTTGTTCTGACGCCCACAGCAAATAAATAAGTAAATAAAATATGCATATTGTGACTGTAGTTGTCATTGGCAGTGAACGGTTGGATTTAAAACGACGACTTTTGTCGTCAATAGTAGTAATGCGGGTTTTCTGAGTGAAACGATCCAAAGCATGTCTGCACCTCCGGTTCTGATATCCAGCTGCAGGGCACAGTTTGGTTGAACGTCTCCGGTAATCCAGTATCCGTTCTTGTCGCCGTATTCCAGAGGGAATAAAACAAATCTGACCGACTAGCAGAGGCTTCAGAAGCTACATCTGACTGATGACTCATTGTTCTCTGCTGTAACGCTAACGCAGAAACAGCGGAGTCGGGCGTTAACTATCGCTGTTTCAGCAGAGCGCCTTGCGAAAAGTCACCAGCTGCCCAGGGCTTAGACCGGAAGTTGGTTTCTGTTTTTCCCGTGCCAGTAAAAACATCAGTTTTTCTTAAAATTCCAGCCGTGAAAATCCAAAAACCTTTTTCATCTGGGGTTTTAATACTTCTTTCCACATGCCAATATCTTTAAGAGTAAATCTGGTAGTTTTTAGATTTAAGATGATTTGATGAAGATCCACAATAATTCCATGGCTTTAAGAGATTTTCACTTCCTCAAATAACTTTCAATAATTTATTTTGTCGTCTTCTTCCCCTCTAGGATGCAGCTAAAGTGTGCCGTGGCTTCATAGAACGAGAGCAAGATGAACTCCGCTTCTCTGCTGTGGCTTTTTGTCAGTGTTGAAGTGTCCAGTTACCACATCAGCTAATTGTAAATGGAAATGTTCAGAAACAGTTTTCATTGTACCCACGGTAAATTAGTGTGCACATACGTCTGCCGGCACTAAGCACTATAAAGGATGTTTTCATTTACTCTTCAACATAGCAGTGGTCTTTAGGATTATAGCACAAACTGAATCAAACTCTTCGACACCGATGCAGTCTTGTGGAAACAGTTATGTGATCTTAATGGGAAAATAGTTAAACACTGCATTAAATATCAACTACATGTTATTTTGCCTTTTTGTCCAACTTTATAAAGACTGCTTCAATGCCTTTTTTGCCAAGGTTGAAACAGGAAAACGTTTTTGGAAGTGTTCTCTTTGCATGCTTTTAATTGTTTTGTGGTTTGCATCATAAATGCTGGACATCCTCCAGAGAGCCCAAACACGTTTATTAGGATAAGTTTAATCCTCTGGTTTATTCTAATGTTTGGAGTGGTGGTCTTGGGTGATCTTTGTTTACTTGAAGTTTGAAAAGATTCATTTGTTTTACAGGGACTGTTAAATGCACTTTACCTAGGAATAGTATTGTTCTGACACAACTGCACAGAGTTTTGCAATCTGTTAAAGTAATGACATATCTGATTCATTGGGTTGTTGAGCGGCTGTGATCAAACATGTTGCCTTTCTGCACTTTTCTGATCCTCTGTTGCTGTTCTACTGCTATTGAGAATTTAATAAAGCAAACATTAAATGTGTCTGGTTCTGATGTTTTAAATATGCAAGTGTTTAATTAAATAATAAAAAAGATTATTCCATAAGAGAATTAACATGACTGTTATATTTATGTTAAGTTATTTCACCCTCTTTTCTGCCCAATTTAAAGGTAGTTATAGATAATATTCCTACTTGCAGAGAATGAGTTTCACTTTGGGACTCACTGGATCATTTTTTGCATGTAAGTGAAATTATGGTATGGATCGGTTCCAGCAAATATAGCAGAATAAAAGTCCTTTTTTGATTAATTCACATTTATTTGTAATTCATCTTTTTCAGTTTGCATTCCTGAATGTAATTTGTAAATCCCTCCCTATGGCAGAAAATATCTAATCTACAAACTATTAATTTAGGCAGAATTTATTTTGCATATGTATTTTTTATAGTTTTGCACCTAGAATTGATCAATGAAGAAACATGAGATGTTACATAAATGTCCTAAGCACAATTACAATTTTTTTGCCGCCTACATAAATAGAAATGAACAAAATTTAGATTTGTTTTACTTTTGGAAGTTTTATTTAAAAATTAATATTTTCCAAAAAGATAAGATCACTTATTCCATCGGCTTCATGTTCACAAAAGGTAGATATGATGGATTTATTATGTGTTATGTATTTTTGTTTTACTTGAGGAAAACTTCATTTTTTGTCTTACAAACAAACAAAAATCATTTTCAGTGACTAAAATCCTGAAGTGAAAAGGAGTTGTGTACAAAAATGTCTGTTGGTGTGCAACTGTGCATAGATAAGTGAAGCTGGAAGGAGAAAAAAAATTCCCAAAAACTGGCGCACACAGCGAGGTATCTGCTGAGCAAAAGGTCATTTGAGGTCGTCGGCTCAGCAGATTGCTCTTGTGTGCTGCAGACTTAAAGAGCAAGCCACCCAAAATCAACTTTTTTTTGCTGATAAACTATACAAAAGAGTGTGTAATCATGCTGTAGTCTACAGCATGATTACACTCTTTTGGACTCACCCACCAGTTGCTCCTGCCACTTCCTCCTCCATGTCTCCTCCTTCTGCTCCCAGACTCCAGTCCCTTCCTGCTTCTGTCCAAACTATCAGAACCGGCTTCATCTCCTTCTCCCCTGTTGGTGCCATCTCAGCACCTCTGATGGGCCAAACCACCACACCGTCACCTGGTCCCGAAAGCGTCACCTCTACCTCCTCTCAATAACGACGTCGCCAGCAGCCTCCTCAGGGCGGAGCTGCACCATCAGCCCAGGTGTTCCCGGCTCGGCAACCTCAGCCCGAGCTCCACCCGCCGCCAACCTCAGCTCATCACGAGCCCCACCCGTCATCACCGCATCCTCATCCAGCGGTAGGCCCCGAGGTCGCACCGCATCCTCGTCTAGCGGCGGTCCCGGTCCAGCATGTCCAAGAGGCTCTGGTCCAGCCTGCCCAAGACGCTCCGGTCCAGCCTGCAGAGTTAGCGCCATGCCAGGCATCTTCAGCCAAGTCAGCGCCATGGCAGTCCCCTTCAGCCGAGTCAGCGCCACGGCAGTCCCCGTCTTCAGAGTCCCCGTCTTCAACCTCCTCTAGCGTCCCTCCATCCCCTCTGCTTCTAGAATTTTCTTCCCCTCTGCCTCCAGAGTCTTCGTCCCCTCAGCCTCCAGAGTCTCCTGCGCCCCAGCTACTGGTTCCCCGTCGCCGACCTCCCGGTGTTTCCTGGTCCCTGGTTCCTCGTCGCCAGCCCCCCAGGCTCTCCAGGACCCGACCTCCCTTGGCCCCTCGTCACCGGCCCCCCAGACTCTCCAGGTCCCGACCTCCCTTGGCCCCTTGTCGCCGGCCCCCCAGACTCTCCAGGTCCCGGCCTCCCTTGGCCCCTAGTCGCTGGCTTCCCGCCGGACTCTCCTGTGTTTTGTCCCCCCTCACCCGCCCTGTGGTTTCTCGTGTCCTGTTTGTCCTTGTCTTGTGTTTGTTGTTCTCCCTTTTGTCTTTCTGGTGTTTTGTGTGCATCTGGTATCTGCCCTTGGGAAGGGGGGGGGGGGGGGGGGGGGGGGGGTTACTGTCATGTTCTGCGTCCTGTGTTCCCCTTTTGTGTCTCCTTGTGTTCTCCTGCCCTCTCTATGTTCCCCTTTATGTGTCTCCTTGTGTTCTCCTGCCCTCTCTATGTTCCCCTTTATGTGTCTCCTTGGGTTCCTCATGTGTCTCCTGTTCTGCGTCCCTGTGGTCCCCTGCCCCCTCCAGGTGTCTATGTTCAGATTCAGTGTCTCTGTGTTCCTGTCTTGTTCTGTGTCCTCGTGGTCCCCAGTTCCCTCCAGGTGTCTAGGATTCCCCTCAGGTGTACCCAAGCTTCCTATGCCCCTTCTTGTTTCCAGCTCCCACCAGGTTTCCCAGGTTCACTCATTCTTTAGTTCCTTTTTGTATTTATATTATCTAGTTGGTTTTCCCCTGCAGTTTTCAGAGGTTCAGGTTTTCTTTTAGTCTCCTTCCTTGTTCCTTCCCCACTGGTTTATTTCTCCTTTTCTCCTCATATCACTAGTTATTTATCTTGTTCTTCTAGTCTTAAGGTTTAGTTATTATTCATAGGTTATGTTTTATTTCCCCTCCTCAGCTTAGATTCCTCTCCCTAATTAGTGAATTGAATTCATCAGGTTCTCCTCGGTTTCTCTCTCCCCCACGCACATGCAGCTCATCTCCCAACCATTCTGCCCCTGTGTATAAAACCCTGTCCGCGTCTCAAGGTGTTGTCGGTCCATTGTTGTTGTCAGTGTTGTTTTGTTTACCCCGTGTAAACCAGAGATTCCTGCTCAGTTAGTGAACTCCTGAGCTTTGTCATGTTTCTTGATACCTGGCTTGGCTTCCTGTCCGTGGAATTTTGGATAATCTCCCAAATAAAGGATTCTACCTTTTTTGAATCACTCCTGCCCCATGTCGTCTGGTGCTCTGATCTTGGGTCCTACTTCTCCTGCTCTGATTCTGACAAGTTCACTTTTTCTAAGGCATTGCTTGTTCATTTAAAAGCTAGTTTTGTTTTTGTTTGGTGTGTTGTGACATCTATCATCATTCAGCTGCTCTGTGCTGTTCAGTCAGGTCTTGTGTGTTTATCAGCATCGGGCAAGGGTTGCCAGGATCACTAGTAATAAATAATAATGATGTGAGAAATGATTGAAGTAAACACACACTCAGTTTTTCTTGCGGCTATAACCGAACAAGAAATATTGTTTATAAATGCAAAAGCAAACAATCTACCGACTGTCATGACACTGACATGTTTCTGGTGAAAAAAGTTATAAATTATATCTCCAAACCACTCACCTACATTTGTAACTTATCATTTCAAACCGGTACTGTTGCAAACAAAATGAAAATTGGTAAAGTCATACCAATCTACAAAAATAATGATAAACACATGTTTACCAACTATAGACCGACCTCATTGTTTCCTCAGTTTTCAAAAATCTTGGAAAAACTCTTTAATACACGACTAGAAAATTTCATTGCTAAACATCACATAGTTAATGATGGACAATATGGCTTCAGAAATAAAAGAACAACTTCTATGACTATATTAGATGCCGTGGAAGAAATCACCAGTGCACTTGATGACAAAAAATAAGCCATTGGAATTTTTATTGACTTCAAAAAAGATTTTGATACAATAAATCACTCAATTCTGCTTGGCAAATTGGAAATTTACGGAATTAGAGGAGTGGCATTGAACTGGGTAAGAAGTTATTTGGGTGGAAGGGTACAGTATATTAATACTGGACAGAAAAAGTAAAAAAAAATCTTGACATTGTTTGTGGTGTACCCCAGGGATCAGTACTGGGACCTAGTTTGTTCAATTTGTACATTAATGATATTTTTTAAACATCTACATTACTCAAATTTATTTTTTTAGCAGATGATAAAACTATATTTTAAAAGCAGTGACAATTATCCAAATCTTTAAAAAAAATGAAGAATTGATTGTTGTTAAAAGATGGATGGACAACAATAAGTTGTCATTAAATTTAAACAAACTAAAGCAATAAAATTTGGTAATCAAGAAACAAAGTTTGAGTTGCCAATAAATATAGATGGGTTTCAAATTGAAATGGTACAAGAAAGCATATTTTTGGGAATCACAATAGACAGTAAACTGTCATGGAAACCTCACATCAGACACATAAAACAAAAAATCTCAAAAAGTCTATCGATAATAAATAAAGCCTTGTCATTTCTTGATTGCAGCACACTTCGTGTATTGTATTGCTCCTTAGTTCTCCCTTATTTTACTTATGGCGCTGAGGTATGGGGAAATAATTATCAATGTTCCTTACATCCTCTTTATATATTACAAAAAAGAGCGGTCCGTATAAATAAGGTTGGATTCTTAGAACACACAAATCAACTTTTTTTTAAAAACAAAATTATTACTATTACAGGATATAATTAAATATCAACAGTTCAAATTCTTTTCAAAGCATTTCATAAACTTCTACCAAATAATTTACAAAAGCTATTTATAATTAAAGAGCTGTCACGTAGTCTAAGGAGAGATTAAATATTTAAATTACCACTGGTGCGAACAACACGTAAAAGCTTTTGAGTGTCTGTGTGTGGGATAAAAATATGGAATAACTTAAAGACTGATCACAAACAATATCAAAATATTCAGATTTTTAAAGCACACTACAGAAGAACAGTTTGGTTAAAATACATTACACATGAGAATGGGCGATGATGTGAGTAAAGGTGTATGGGAATATACAATTAATTATATTGACAAGAATTGTTAAATTGTCTAGACTACCATTATTATTATTGTTATGATTATGATTTTCTTTGGTCATAAGGTTGTTGAATTTGAGTTAATGCTATACTGAATGTTAAATTGTTAGTGAAAAACAGGGGTGGGCTTGAATAAGCTTGGCTTCCGCCCACTCCCTTTCGAACATGCCTATTACAACAATGTCAACTTGATTTATTATTGATTTATCTAGTGAGGTTTATTATTGATTTATATCATGTTGTTAATTGTGATTCAATTCAATTCAAGTTTATTTATATAGCGCCAAATCACGACAAGAGTCGTCTCAAGGCACTTCACATAATAAACATTCCAATTCACAGTTCATTAAGCCAATCAGAAATAATGTGTCCTATATAAGGAACCCAGCAAATTGCATCAAGTCACTGACTAGTGTCAGTGACTATACAGCAATCCTCACTAAGCAAGCATGCAGCGACAGTGGAGAGGAAAACTCCCTTTTAACAGGAAGAAACCTCCAGAGAATCCTGGCTCAGTATAAGCAGTCATCCTCCACGACTCACTGGGGATCGAGAAGACAGAGCAGACACACACACACACACACACACACACACACACACACACACACACACACGCACGCACGCACGCACACACACACGCACACACACAATAATGTGTCTACAGTTCCATTGTGATGTCTTAGTAAATATTCTATTTGGTGAGAGATAAACTTTATTGTATTTATTCTAGTGGATCTATAATTAAACGGATAAACTAGTAGTAGCACATCCAACGTCAAGGAAAGCAAAAATTATTATCAGGAGAGGGAGAATGTTTTAGTGGTTAGCAGCAGTGTGCTAGACTATGGCCCCCTCCATGAGGCCACCACAGCTCAGCAGAACATCATTGTAGCTTCTTCTGGGGAGAAAAACACTTAGAGAGAAAATAAAGTTAACAGCTGAAATAGCAGAAAATAATACAGTTAAAGAGCAGATTGTAGAAGAAGGTAGTAGAGTGTGGAAAGTGGTCAGTGTATCCTCCAGCAGTCTAAGCCTATAGCAGCATAACTACAGAGAAAACTCTGGATAATCTATCCTATTTAGATGGAGGCATGTTGGAGGCAGGGCAAAGAAGAGCCGTCTTTACCGACTGTACACTCCACCTCCCTGTACTCCCCCACTTGTCCAGATGTAGGCCAACATCAGATTTTAACCATAGGCCCTATCAAATAAAAATGTTTTAAGCCTAGTCTTAAAAGTTGACAAAGTGTCTGTCTCACGGACTAAGGCTGGGAGCTGGTTCCACAGGAGAGGAGCCTGATAACTAATAGATCTGCCTCCCATCCTAATTTTAGATATTCTGGGAACCACCAGTAGACCTGCAGTCTGAGAGTGAAGTGCTCGGTTAGGAACGTATGGAACAATCAGATCACTGATGTATGATGGACCTTGATTATTAAGAGCTTTATGTGTGAGAAGAAGGATCTTAAAATCTATTCTGAATTTAACAGGTAGCCAATGTAGGGAAGCCAAGACAGGAGAGATATGATCTCTCTTTTTAATTCTCATCAGAACTCTAGCTGCAGCATTTTGGACAAGCTGAAGACTTTTAACTACATTCTGTGGACTTCCTGAGAGTAATGAATTACAGTAATCCAGTCTTGATGTAATAAATGCATGAACTAGTTTTTCAGCATCACTCCTGAAAGGATGCTTCTAATCTTAGCAATATTCCGAAGGTGGAAAAAGGATATCCTACAAACCTGTTTAACCTGGGAATTGAAAGACATGTCCTGATCAAAGATAACACCAAGGTTCCTTACTTTGTTCTCGGAGATTAATTTAAAGCCATTCAGGTCAGGTGATTGGCTAAGCAATTTCCTTTTCTGGATTTCTGGTCCAAAGATGAGAACTTCCATCTTGTCTTGATTTAAAAGCAAAAAGTTTAGAGTCATCCAATGTTTTATGTCCTCAAGACAAGCCTGTAATGTACCCAACCGATTAGGTTCATCAGGGTTAATGGATAAATATAACTGAGTATCGTCCACATAACAGTGGAAGTTTATCCCATGCTGTCTAATGATTTTACCAATTGGGAGCATGTACATAGTAAAAAGAATTGGTCCAAGCACTGAACCCTGTGGTACTCCACAAGTAACCCTGGAGTATGAAGAAGATTTGTCATGTACATTTACAAAATGAAATCTATCAGACAGGTAGGATGTTACTGGCATGTTGGAAATAAATAAATGATGATGATAATGATGATGTGTTTTGCAATATGTCACACGAGAGCAATCTGCATTGCTGTGTGCGTCTAGTTTTTCACCTAAGGTGGTTAAAATGAGCCACATGTCAGCACAATCACTTCCAGGTGAAGAAGGGACATCCTCTAGTCTACAGCCCCACATCTCTCTCTCTTTCTCTCTCTCTCTCTCTCTCTCTCTCTCTCTCTCTCTCTCTCTCTCTTCTCTCTCTCTCTCTCTCTCTCTCTCTCTCTCTCTCTCTCTCTCTCTCTCTCTCTCTCTCTCTCTCGACCTCCCTCGCAGAGATTCTTGCCTGCGCGTTCACGCCCCCAGAATTGCGCGGCATCGGTGGTGGCTGGACACGGGAGACAGCCTCCTACCGTATCGATATTTTTAGCACCTGGTTCGTGTTGCACAGTCGCGAGAAGCTACTCCTCGGTCTCTGCGCCACGGTTAGAGCAGGGCTCGCGGGGAGCACGAGGGAGCTACGTCGCCTGTGCGTGCAGCTGTTTGGCTGAGGACTAGGCGGATAACGGACCGAGAGCGTGGAGCGGAGACTTCTGGAGGAGGCGTTGTACCTCATATCATCACCTGTCTTTACTCCGGTGCTGGTCGGACGGCTCGCCAGCTGATGGCTAGTCCCGCATGTGGAAATTCCCCGGGTGCCCCGCCGCGGGAGCAGAAGCCGATGGAACCGAGCCATCCCGAGCCAGCAGCCTGCCAGGAGGCACAGAAGTGGGTAGAGGTGAGTGAACGGACTATTTTGGAGACGCTCTGGGGCCCTGCTGCTGCAGTAAATTGGGGATGTGGGCCATTGCGTCGCTTATTGTGACAGGAGATATAAATACCCAGTCCGGTTCACCGTCACCTGTTTCGGGGGACTGCTGTGTCGGGTTACCGTCTGGGACAACGGCTCTGCTGCTTTTCAAAAGTTTCCACTTAGTTCTTAATTAAACGCTGTCAATGTGGGAACTTTCAAGCAATAATTAAACGGATAACGTTTTGATCTGGTCTGTTAGTTTGTTCACCATTGACGCCCCCGTCTTAAAGGAGCTAGCTAGCTGATTCCGGTTGCCATAGCAATAAAATCGGGCCAGTATCAAGAGATGCTACGCTGTCCCAGCGTTTGATCGCATCGGGCGAGATTATCATTTGAGGTTTACTGCATGGCTCCCACCATCATCTGCTTGGCTAAAACGGCTCCCTTTATAAGCCTTAGTGGTGAATCATGATTTGCCCGCGGAGCTGCTGTTATGACCCATTTATTCTCCCATCACATCACTACAAATAAACCAGATTATGTCCTTTTGGCTAAAATCTTGTGCTAATTCTTGCAGCCACACTCTGGACAGGAAAGCTCAGAACAGAACTGAAATTGTTTAAAAGACTCAGTTGAATGATAAGGTCTTAAACACCGAAATAAACATTTTTTTTTTTGAAATTGCAAAGCCTGAAAATCCTGAGCATGATTTTAACGTTGTCTGTTTAAGAGAGTGGCTCCTGCTGCAGGGCTTTCAACAATCCAGATGTTGATCACACTGTTTTCATACTCTCATTCAGTTCCTCCTAAATATGACCCAAACCTGTCTGCTGAGAGCTAAGATTTTCTGGGACATGGACTGATTTTAGATCCTGTACACTTATAACCTGGTATCCGGCAAAACAAAGATATTTTCTATGGTTAGGCCTGTCATCCACACCAAAGAGAAGATATATAGTTTAAAAAATTATTATTTCAAAAACTTAGACCTAAGTGGAGATTTGTGAATTATCCTTTGTCCGAATTTGCATGTGGGTGTAAATAACTGGGGATTTAGGTTTTGCGACGTCACTACCAATAACAAAAAAGCGTGACATCTTGTGTGCGACCTGTGTTTACACCATCAACATATACATATATGGACAATGGGTTTCCATAGGCTCCAATAACATGTTTTTGAAGAAAAATGGGAGGTGGCCACCACCGCCATTTTGACCGTGTCACAGGTTCCGTCAAGCCCAGACAATTCCACAAAAGGGAAGAGAGGTGGAGCTGAAGGTGGGGCTGTAAGGCTGGGATCAGCTGATGACACCCGGTCGAACTAGCTACAAGCTAACCTGAAGCTAACCCAAAGCTAACGCTGAGGTGGGAGCTAAGTTAACGGAGGTAGCAACCTAGCTACAACTGGAGTTAACTGTGCACAACACCAGAGCTTCTGAGTCAGAGATACGTCGGGCTGACCGCTGGGTAAAACCGGGTGGAACACAGAGGTCTCCCGAAAGCTCCACAAGCCGGCAGCCGCACGGCAGACAAGCGCTGCTGCGATCTGAGATGCGCAGAGCTGCCGCTGGGGAGAACCGGGTGGAAAGGTTTCCATCCCAGAGCTCCACAAGCCGGCAGCCCACACAGCAGACAGAAGCCACGATCAGACAGAGATGCGCCGAGATGCGGGGAGGTGGAGTAACGGGTGGAAAAGATCGATCCCCTGAGAGCTCCACAAGCCGATAGTCGGAGCCCAGCTCCACCAACATGTTATATTTCAACCCATTTTCTAAAGTGCAGCATTATGTTAAATGCACTGGGTTTTACCCTGTTACATTTAAATTTCATGGTTAAACAGTACATGTTAAAATCTAAGCTCAGCTTGGCAGTGACCTAAAATACATAAATATAATTTTACTTACCGAAAAAAAATGAAGTGGAGACTCCTTGGATGCTCTATTAGTGCAATTAATGCCACATGAAGTCATTTTGTCCAACAATTGCACAAAAAATATCCAAAACAGAATACACAAACACAGAGACTCAAAACCCCGGAGCAGTTTCCAGGCCAGACCGAGGCTCTACTGAGGCCTTTCCACGGAGCTAGCTCTGTGGTCACGTGGGTCTGATGCTCATTAATTATACAGAATTTTAGGCTTTTAATACACTTAAACAGAAGAGTGAGAAAAAAATTCACCCCCCTCAGAGTTGTCATGAGTGTAAACTAGATCATTTAAACCAAAAACATGTTTTGGTACCAGGCTGTAAACATGTTTATTTCTGCTGTGAAATTGGTATTTTTAACATGGGACTCAATGCTTCTGACACCAGCCCCTAGTGGATGAGGGTGGAACTGCAATTTATTTCACTTCCGCATTGGCCTCAATTTCTGTCCCGCATTGTGGGGGCTTGGTTTACACTTGCTTGTTTTTACAAGTTTAGTTACTGCGCTAGAAGACAGGGCAGCTTTATTTATATAGCACATTTCATACACAGAGGCAATTCAATGTGTTTGTAGAAGACCACTAGTAAAGTGCAACTTTAAAGGCAGTTATTGCTTATCACTTAGTTATTCCAAAGAGTGTTTTTTGGCAAAGACTACTGCCACCTACAGGCTTGGCATGCCTATGACTGTGCTTCACAAAGCACTGGATGTTTTTGCAGAAAACAAGGGGGTGTGGACCCAAGTTCTTTATCATAAATGGATGGGGGAGGATATTCCCATGTGTGCATGGTCTGCACCAAGAAGAGTTTTATCAGTGGTGACGACTGTTTACTCTGGGTTAGTGCTGACCTCCTAAATCCTAATCTCAGGCTGTGTCTTGGCTTTGTCATCTTCCTAACTCTTTTTCTCTGGTTATTTTCAGTCTGGTTAGGCTTTGGTTATTTCTTGTGGTGTATTTATATCCACTCACAGGTGGGGGTGGTTCTCTGACTTAACCAAGTGTGTCGAGGTCATTTCTATAAAGTATGCAAAGTGCACAGACACCCGCACATATCACTCAGCACCGAATGTTGGACACACCCCGGTAGGATGACACCGGTCACTATAGAAACATAATACTGGAGGGCTCTCAGGTGTTTTGATGGGGCAGGCTGAACATCTCCAAATAATCTGGGCAGGAAATAAATTTAGAACAGCCAATCTGTTTATAGACAAGAACACGCAGGATTAAAATGTTTTAAAGAATTCTTAAAATATCAAATAAAATGGATGCTTAACATGTTGAAGATGAGCAAATTATTGTTTTTGTGATAGCAATCTACCTCTAGCTTTAAACACCTGCCACATGACAAAAGCTAAAGTCAGACTCACAGAATAACTGTATAACAAGTGTGTGTGTGTGTGTGTGTGTGTGTGTGTGTGTGTGTGTGTGTGTGTGTGTGTGTGTGTGTGTGTGTGTGTGTGTGTGTGTGTGTGTGTGTGTGTGTGTGTGCCAAATGTCACAGCTGTTTTAGTAGGATTAACTCCAGTCATGCCAGACTGCCAGCTGTGTCTGCATGAGAGCGAATGTGTGGGTGGAGGGATGTCCCGCTCCTGTCTAGGTAGTTTTTGTGGTTACACATACTGGGAGAAAACATTAATTGAATAGTAAAATAAAAACAGTCGATACACTTTTAAATGTTGATTCAGTATCACAATAATTCAGTTTATCAGTGTCTGTATAAACTAGCTTAACTAGATTTTAAACAGTGTTAGACGAGACATGTTGTGACTTTTTTTCTTGTTATAATGGTTCTAATGTCGATACAAAACATTTTTATGAAGTTCTTTGCACTAAATCCCTCTCATGTAAAACTATTTCAGCAGTTTTATTCTTGACAGTTTCAGTACCTTCCAGAATGAGTCGTTTCAGGGCTCTTTCACTTTAAGACACGCTGGAGCTAGTCTTGAACTTGGGAGATTTTGGACTCTTCGTTTTTCATTTCTGAATTAGTGCTGTTGTTCACATCCTCCACACACACACACACACACACACACACACACACACACACACACACACACACACACACACACTAGGTAGCTGCTGCTGCTGCTGCCATTCACCCAGTCTCCACGCTGGCTAAGGCAGCTCAAATTACTGGAACGGAAAAACCTTAAAGGCCTCTAGCCCAGCTTATTTAGCACACATGGCTTCCTCCATACCTTTAGCGTATTACATAATTATCTTCTTTTTACAATTGTAGTCTCTGCACCAAAAACCGTGACGCCAGTAAGTGTTTATGTGTTGCATTTTACCTTAAGCACGCTTCAACCAGTCATCCAGATCGTCCACCTACTGTCTACATCACCTTCCTACTGAAAACAAAAATACTAGTCCTTCGCCTAAACACAGTACTCTCTTCTGTGATTTAATAATGCATGATCAGGCTGTAAATGTTTCAAAGATCTAGACGAGCACAAAATAATGCAGTTTAATGTCAGTTTTAGCCTTCAGAATGAATGAATATCTGTAACGTAAGGAAGATTTAGTCTCGGTTTGATTGATGTCTTTGACATGTAGTTAAACACATAATTATAACAGAATTTGTGTGTGTGTGTGTGTGTGTGTGTGTGTGTGTGTGTGTGTGTGTGTGTGTGTGTGTGTGTGTGTGTGTGTGTGTGTGTGTGTGTGTGTGTGTGTGTGAAGAAAGACAAGAGGGAAGAGGACATGCCAATGGGAAACATCTGGACATCACTTATGTAACATAACAACAGACTTTTCTTTTCATTGGTGATATGAGTGTTTATTTTCCTTTAAGGCTGCAGAGACTTTAAGATAAATGCTAAAACAATATCTCTGAAACAACTAAATCATTCTGAGTCACACATGAACGCGTTCTTAAATCAGACTGGCACGTACCAATGGTTTGGCTAGATGAGCAAATTTTACAAATAGTTTTAGTTATTAATACCCTCCCCTGAGCCTCCATCGTTTATCTGCTGTCCTGCTTTCTAAATGATTGGCACCAGCTTTTAAAAACCCATATTAGTCAAACCTCGTTGTTAATGAGCAGCAGATTTGGAGTATATGCCTGTTCGAGTGCTAACTGTTATCTGTGCTAATCGGGATTAGAAATCTAAAAAGCATCACTCAACCTTCTCCTCTTCTCTTGGCTGCTGGTTGCAAAACAAACTTTTCTCCTTCTGTGTCTGAGTTTGGATTCTGGCCGATTTTCTCCTCATCCCCCGTCTCCATGGGGTAAAACCCTACCTGTAGTCCAGGTGAGAGGATTGAGAAGATTGTCACTTGTGGTGGCATTTGGAGAAGACTGGAATGAGGACACAGAGCAGTGTGTCGCTGACCTGGAATCTGTCGCTGCAGAAACAAAATGTTGGGGGGGAAGGGCGACCAGGGAAGGAGCAGGTTGTTCTCTCACTGTAATTCACAGCGTTACATTCTAGAGATGGTTTCTAGACTCGAGAACAATGGAGACTTTTCATTTTATTAGTTTATTAAATATCTAACAACAAAACTATGTGGAACTTGACCTCATTTGCTTTTCATGGGTAAGTTATCTCGTTTAGAGAGATCAGTGCATAATTTGTTAAATAACTGATCTAAATATCAGTTAAAATATGAATCCTTCTCAAAGGCAGAACTAACTAACACACTTTAGCGATGGGCCAGATTTAACCACTCTGAGCTCTGAGGCTGTTTTGAATGTTGCCTTGTTTTTATTTAAAAATATCCAGGCGGTGACTGTTGGCCATCCCTCCTGCTTCCAGGTCACTTCTGTAACATCTGCTTCTTCCTGTCTGTCCTCAGGCTGTAACAGGGAAGAGCTTTGGAGACAAAGACTTCCGCAGCGCACTGGAGAACGGTATCCTGTTATGCGAGTGAGTCCACCGCCTCACCTGCTTCGGTTTCTGATGTCTGATGTAGCAACAACACACACAAATACCCCGAGACTCCATAAATCTCCACCCATCTTCTCCTCCACATAGGCTACTGACTGCAATCAAGCCAGGGCTGGTCAAGAAGATCAATAGACTGCCCACCCCCATAGCTGGGCTGGTAAGAAGACACTCTCTAGTCAGCTCTTTAAGCCCCCTCCACCCCCGTGATAATAACCCCCCTCCGTCTGCGGGCCCCTGCCGTTTCTTCTAGGACAATCTGTCGGTCTTCCTTCGAGGCTGTGAGGAGCTAGGCCTGAAGGGCTCCCAGCTGTTTGACCCGGGGGACTTGCAGAACACTTCCATATGTGCTAACCTCAAGTAAATAGGCTGTTACGTGTGAATCTGCACATATGACTTGTTGCTGCATAAATAACACGTATTATCCTTATTAGGGACTCTGACTGCAACCGCAAATTAAAAAATGTAAGTTGCTTTTCCTTCCCTTCTGTTTCTCTTATTACCGTTTAGTGGCGATGCCTTAGTTTTTCTTTTATGAACCAAACCTGATGTCTGTGTCTGCCAGGTGTTGAACACGGTGTTCTGGCTGGGGAAGGCTGCCAGTGGCTGCCCCTCTTACAGCGGCCCTACTCTCAACCTCAAGGAGTTTGAGGGGCTTCTTGCTCAGATGAAGGTGGTGAGTGAACGGCAGGACTGCGGATCTCTGGATCAGTCAGACCAGACATTTCACTGACTGCTTTTGAATGTGTCAAATTGGATGTGACAGTTTCATATTATGGTAGCTCTTTCCAGTCCCTTTACTCACTGTGTTTACCTTCTGAGAGCATTTTTCATGAAGAGCACGCCTCTCCTGGGTACTCTCCTCTTGCTGACTATGTGCAAAGAGCAGCTGTCCAGACCCAAACCTCTGGTTATTGTTCAGAATTCATGCGTGGAAAATAAAAAAGGAACCATAAGCAGAAGCAACAAAGAAAAGGAAAATAATTCTGGAGACAAACAAGATTGCAGATAGTTGGGGGGAAGTGCAGGATCTGTAAGCCTTCCTGTCTTTATTGTGACGTAGGAGTGTACATGTAGGACAGATATGTCTGCTTTAGCTACAGCATAAACATTACATTAATTAAGATCATTAAAGCAACTGATTCTTACACAAGCCAATAACAAATGTTTAAAAATCCAAGTAACGGAGTAATAGTAGCATCACGCAAGCTTCTTTCTGGTTTTTACTTTAGACCGTTTATATAATATTTGTGTGCAGGAAAATGAAGACGGAGCGGACAGTCCTCAACAGCGCAGTGTTCGAGACAGTGGCTACGACTGCTGGGACTCAGAGAGGAGTGAATCTCTCTCTCCACCAAGACACACTAGAGACAACTCTTTGGACAGGTGAGACATCGATCAGCACATGGTAAAACTAAATATGTGGCTACACACACTGAACTATTATTAATATCCTTGTCTAAACCAAGTTATTTGAGTCAAACGATCGTGTGTGGATTTAGTTTCTGGTTTGAAATGTCTAAATGCATTCTGGTGCGTTCCTTTTCTGCTTTTGCAGCCTGGATTCCTTCGGTTCTCGCTCACAGCACAGTCCTTCTCCTGATGTTGTCAATCGAGTCATTGGAGATGGTTGGTTCTCAGAAATTCTTGTTTTTACCTGATTTAGACAGACTTCAAGTGTTTGTGCTGTCCATTAAATTTGGGGTTCATGGTGATGTTCCTCTCAAGAACTCAAAGTTCAAAAATGGTGAACTATGCCTATAAATACAATCAAATTTGTGAAATATAGATGAGCTATTGTTAAGCCTGGTATCGAATGACGCATCGGAGTGTAGACAACAGCTGAACATAATTGTGTGTGCGCCCGCATGTATGTGTGTGAAAGTTTGGGCGTTTTTGTGTGTGCTGTGCCTTAAATGCCAGTCTAAGTCACTAGAGATTTAGACCTGGGACAAGTTAGTGTACCTTTGCTGTGTGTTAGGCCTAAGGCATCATCATCTTCTTTTATAGGGAGAATAAATGTATAGAAAATAAATACCGTAAGTGTCAAAGCTAGAAAAAGCCTCAATGCCTACAGTTGCTGTTGGCCCTAAAGCAAGTAGGTTATTACAAACTAAATGTGATGAATAAAAAGCTCTTAATCCTACTTTTATCTGCCTGGAAATGCATTTTCCATAAATGTACTTATGGTTTTATCTGAACAGAAACATTTACAAACGCTTTCAGTATGAAGCTGTGAACAAGATCCTTTCTTCATCCCTTCATTTGATACAGCTTGTATAAATAATTAGGCAGGCAGTTTTGTTAACGTACATGGCTCAGCCTGGTTGAGAAAAACTAGAGTACAGATACTTTTCTGTTTGTTGGGGGATTCTTTTCCTTCTCTTTAGTAAGAAACTCATTTTTACCATATTTAAAGCAACACTTAACCCCCCCCACTGTCCGAATGGGTGTGACCCCGCGAGGAAAGTTGACCATCAATCCTGCACAATGGTAAACTTTCCTTGCGGGGTCACCCATAAAGACAGTGGAGGGTTAATAAGCTTGCTGCTTCTACTGGTTGTAAGGGGAATTACAGCTGCCTGTTGTAAGCCATAGCTAGCGCTAACAATGAGCTAAGGCTAACAGATTATGACGTGATAATGTCACTGGCTTTTCTAATCCGAGTTTCCCCGTCTATTTTCTGTCAGCGGGTAATGCAGAAAATGGGGGTAGAAGACTATTTTCACATATAGCTTGCATGTGAAACATCACAGTGAACAATTGTATTTGAAAAATAACAAGAAAAAAACAGTATCTCAGTGAACTTGGTCTTTAAGTGCAGTTTCTGGTCAGCAGGGGCTACAGAGGGCTGTCTAGTGTGAAGCTAATCAAGTTTATGGATCAAGTACCACAAACCAGTTTGAAAGCAATAGCTTAAAGTGTTAAAAACTCTTTAGTGTTGCTTTAAGTCCCTAAAATGTGGGAGCTTCATCACACAGACACATCTGATGTGTTTCCTCCACATCTATTTCTATAGTGTGTGTTATGGGTGGATGTAAAGGGAGCCTTGTATATTTTCTGTTGTTAGTTTAATCTGTTTCTGTTGAGTTAAGTGACTCTGTCATCGCTCAGGGCGAGGCAGCGACTCGGAGGCCGATGCGTCCAACAGGAAGCCAGATGTAAGAAAGGACGATATGTTGGCCAGACGGACTGCCAAAAGCGAATCAAGATGCTCCATTCCCTTCAACCAGTTCCTTCCAAACCGAACCAACGCCAGCTCCTATGTCCCCGCGCCGCGACGAAAACAGCATACAGAAGAAGTAGAACAACGCAGGTAATAATTACCACAACATAAACAACTGAATGTCGGCTTCATAGTTTGTTTTTGTCTGAGAAAAGAAAGACGAGGTAATCTGTCCCTACAATTACACATCATTCCTCAGTCACCCTCAAGCCACCCAGGAACAAGGCAAAAGAGTGGGACCGCACCATAAAACCCCCAAGACTGTCTCTTGGGCACCTGAAAACAATAGAAACAAAGTAAAACAGGTAGAGGACGTGGGTGGGTCGGAGAGGAGGAGGATGCAGAAGTTGGAGAAGGCAGGAATTAAAGTTCTACCTGCTGCTGTTCACTACATCAGGTCAGCGTGGACGGGCATGAGCGCTGCTACAGCTGCTGTGGTGGTTGACACTTTGGTTTGTTTTCACTAACAAGATGTTGTGCTGGCTAATGAGTGGTTTATGCTTTACTGATGCTATGGACTGGCTTCTGGTGTCTTTATGATCAGGTTTGTAGCGTCCTATTCTGGTGATGTGGGGACAAAGGCACCGCTGAGGTGGTTAGTGGCATGTAGCGTGGCGGGTTTCAGCGGACATGAATGCTACAGGAATGAGCTTTGGATTGTTTAAGCCCCTTTTCTGTTGGAGCTAATGATGCATCTGAAGACTGGCTAATTACCTCTTCAATGACTGCTTGTGTAAAATGAATGGTGCCATAGACCTATAATCCTCTAAATGTTACCTTGCCATGCCGTCCCGTCTACAACCCCAGCCCTCCCACATCAGAGGATAAAGAAGTGAAGCCCCCATCCCCAAACATCATCCTTCGCTCTGAAAACGACTTTTTGAACTCTCAAAGTTCTGCGTGGGACTCCTCCTCAGAGGGAGAGGAAGAAATGGAGAAGCGGAAAGTTCCAGATGTACATAAGGATGACTTGGCATCCAGACGAGTTCATCACATCCCCGTTGTTTCCAAGGTTCATCAGTTCCTCCCTCCTCCAGTGTGTACCAGCAAAGACCGAGAGCGCTGGGAGGGAATCAGACGAGCCTCACAGCGAACTCTGCAGGAGGAGGAGACCAGGTTAGCTGTGTGCTGCTTTCATTTCCAGTTCATGTGACTCATTTGTAATTTTCTCGCTCTGTCATCTGCTGTTGTGGGTTGACGTGTAAACGCTACACTCTGCTGGATAATTTTTGCCACATGATGCGTCTGTTGGGCCTCTGTACTTGGACAGGGAGAAGGAAGCTGTCTCTGACATCATAACTCGCAAAGGCAACCCCTTCCTAAAGGAAGGGGGGGAAGAAGAGGATGTGGGAAAAGAAAGGATGGATGAAGCCATTCCTAATAAGCAGACGGATGACCTGGCTCGTAGGCGGGCTCAGAGCAGACCTCTCCCTCACAGGGAAGGACCGGTGAGCTTTGTGCCGTCTTCCATGAGCCCGGCTGATTTGCAGAAGTGGGAGAGACTCAAGATGACTGAACCAAGGTGCCAAACTCTCGTTCCGAGCACACATGCAGCACTTGCAGTTAGACGTTGTCAGCGTGGGCTGAACGATTTTAGGAAAATATTCAATTGGGATTTTCTGAAAGAAACTCATTTCAGTTTGATTCACAATTTTCTTCACATCAAGCTTCAGCAAAATATTCACAATGTACAGTAACGTTTGTCAACGTGACAGGAAATTACATCATACCATCAAGACATTAAAAACTATTACTCTAATATGAAAACTAAAAGTGAGAATTGCTTTCAGATGTATACGCCTCATAGTTAACACAACACCCTGGGTCACAAGCGCAGCTTTGACGACATCTTAGGTGTGTTCTTACTGTGTCGTGGTTCTAATTCCATGCTTTCGTTCTTTTTTAAACACAGAAACAGTTTTGTTTACCTGTTTTTGTAGCTACAGTTTCGCCGACGGCTGCCGGCTTTGACGACAATCGCGTTATCTGAAATCATAATTTTGATCAGAAAGGCATGGATCGTTCAGCCCTAGTCTGAGGCATGATTGGCAGCTGACGCAATGGTGTGTGTGTGTGTGTGTGTGTGTGTGTGTGTGTGTGTGTGTGTGTGTGTGTGTGTGTGTGTGTGTGTGTGTGTGTGTGTGTGTGTGTGTGTGTGTGTGTGTGTGTGCTTCAGTAGTAGTTGTATTCTACTCTAGTGAAAGCAAGCTCTCATACAAAAGGGGGATTTAAGACTTTATTTCAGTTGACTTGTTAGGTCTGACATTCCCACACTGGCTGAAATCATCTGCATACCAACACGTAAAATCGTGAGCATTTTCTTAAAATTCACTAACACCGGACTGCTCTTGTCCTAGAAAATTAAAACTATTTAAGATGTTTTCTTTGGAAACACTTAAAGCTGTTAAAGCAAACCTGGGAAACAAATAGGCTTAAAACTTTTGTTTTTTATTTTATTTTTAACAACATTCTAACATACTACAGCTATAGATATATTGTGGAAATTTAAAAGCTAAACAAAAATTTCTTAAGTAGCTCTCTCGCATTTGTCTGAAAACCTCTACCAATAACCATTGGACCACCCAGCTACACGTACTTAGCAACAGAACCTTACAGGTGTGAGAGGTTCTCCGCTCACTAATATCAGAGAAGGAGAAACAGCCGGCTGCTTCCACTTTAACTTTAGGACAGACTACCAGAGTTCCAAAAAGAAAAACTCCATAAAGTCACGGGCAACAAAAGATGCTTGGACCTAGAAAACAGTGACTGGTGTTTAGCGTGTCTTGGTTTGTCCAGAATCGCTGCTTTTTGGTACCAGCAGAAGCATCTCAGGGAAGGTATTTGAGGGAAGGGGTGAGTGTTCCATGATCGTGTTTGCAGTCAAAACTCAGCTTGTTCTGTAGATTCATTGTAACGGCTTTCAGCCTTCACAGTTTTTTTAGTGCAACAATAGCATTATGTTTCCAAAGGCAGTAGGCAGAAGGCCTGTGTATTAACAAGAATCTGGCAATACGGGACGATAAATGTCACAGTACCGATGAGACGATGTAATATATTGCGATACTAAAAGCGCAACGATATTTGCTAGTTTTAAGACTAAATTTTACTCGGAAACTCGGGCCTGGCACTTTCACTCCACACCCAGTGTTATTGTGGGATCTTGTTGTTCCGTCTGTGAATGTGGAAAAAACTACTGCCACCTAGCAGTCAGAGTTTGAATTGCACCACACAAAAGAAATGAATTAAATGTTTTCATGTAAATTCTCAATAACAACACACTTTTTTAAAATGTTGAATCAGTATCATAAAACAAAATATCTTGATATTTACGTGTATTGTTATTTTCTCACATCCTTAGTAGGTAATATAAAGGATATGAGTTAAGATTTTTTTTAAACCTGGTAATTATTCTGTTTATTCCTTTTCTAAATAATCAGTTATTTGCTTTGTTTGTGGAACGGCAGCACAGAATATCCCAGGCCTCAGCGGAGGGTCTTTCTGTGTGCTGTTAGCAGATCCCTCCCAGCGTAAAGAAGCAACAAAGCTCTCAATCATTTAATCTGTTTTTACATTATTCAAATATTTAGGTCATTAATTATTAGTTTACCCCAAAAAATTAATATGCTTTTTTTTCTATGAAGTTCTCACTCTGCTAGTTTATTCTAGTATATCACGAGCTCCAGTTGTCTTAATTCTTATGTGACTGGCATTGAAACTGAGCAGGGAATTGGCTTGTGTGTGTGTGTGTGTGTGTGTGTGTGTGTGTGTGTGTGTGTGTGTGTGTGTGTGTGTGTGTGTGTGTGTGTGTGTGTGTGTGTGTGTGTGTGTGTGTGTGTGAGACTAAAAAAGACAAAAAAGAGGCGACGGTTGGCTGCGAGCACTGCTTGAGCTTTGTTTTTTCCTGTGCTGATGTCATGAGGACATGAGAAACAGGATAAAGAGTGTTTTGTGTGCTCAGAGGAGCAGCAGTGAGTAGGAAAATGTGGCTACCTACAGTATCCTAGATAAAATGCTAAGTGTGTTCTTGTGTGTTAAAGTGATCCAATTAGACAACCCCATGCTTTGTCCCGTTCTGTCCACCCATACTTCCTGTCTCACTCAACATTTCAACCTCATCCTTTTGTTTCCACAGTCTGATCCCCTTTCTCATGATTTATTTTCCCTGTTTTTTTCTTGCTCTTTCGCTGCTGCCGTGGTTGTGTGTGCGTTTGCCTGCGGGCCTGTCTTTATTTGTGAGGCTGGGTTTGCAGCGAGGATGGGCCAGCCCCAGTGTGTCAGGCCTGTCTGCGAAAATATAGGAGCCCTTTCAGCAGATCAGCAAAGGCTGGACAAGGTCACAGCAAAGTTGTGACCTTTGGGGGCGTGACTGAGATCGAGCAGCCTATAGACAGTGTCATGACAAGTGAAGGGGAGGAGACAGAGTTGCTTAGACGACTCCTTTCCAAGGCAACCGTAGCCATGGCCCTGGGCTCCCAGCTGTCAGAGCGAGAACGCAGGTACGGACGAGGCCAAACGCAAAACATCATAGAGCCGTGGCTCAGAGCCAAAGGGGCCTGCATTAGTCTGGGCTGAGGAGCAATGAAACCCTTTTCTGTCGCTTTATTTCTTAACATTTCAAGCTGCTACGATTTAGTTTCTTCATCATAGAGTCTGAAAGCACGTCTCTGTTGCACTGATTTGCTTCTAGTTAAAGTCAGTCTTCTTTCATGTAAATATTTAGTAACAAATGATTTCTGTTTTACCTAATTAAATATTAATTAGGCAGATTTTAAGCAACCTTTACAAATCGAATGCCCTCAGAGAGCAGAAAATATTTAACTTATAGTGACTTAATTTAACAAAATGCACCTTTTTTAAACAACAATAATGTGACTTTTTTATTTGAAACGAATAATGAATTTGTGTTTTTATAAGCATATCAGTGCTGCTTTGGTGTGGAGCATGAACCGTCAGATCTATAGTTTAGTGCCTATTTCCTGTAAATTATCATTGGCTAACAAGCATTAGACTCATTAAATACCTCCACCTGATAATTGTATTTGTTTGTTTTAAGCTAAATGTATTCCCCATTGAGGAGGGAATAAGAAATGCATCTTTTTCATATTTTTGCAATGCTTTTGCTCTTTAGTTCTTGCTTTGAGGATTAAATTTAGTTGTTTTTTTTAGATTTTCTAGATGTGAAAATGAAAGATTTTCTCTCAAATCTCCTTTGCATTCTGTTTTCTGCACTCTGGTGGCACGTTTTCTGCATGTTTTTCACAATAATCATAGTTAATGGTCATTTTGACCCATCCCTATTTTTTATTTATTCATTTTTTGACAACAATGCTTTAGCAGCTTCGTAGATGACGCTGAGCCCAGTCAAAGCACCTCAACCTTTTTGGATCTCCAACCCTGGACCCTCCGAGCCAACCTTTCCGCTGCTGAAGTTGATGCTCGTTTTGCTCAGTATGAACAGAGAGTAGAGGCCGAGGAGGAGGAGGATGAAGAGGAAGAGGAGAGGATCCCAGATCTTCAGAAAGATGACATGATGGCAAGGAGGACAGGTGTTTTTCAGAAACCAGCAGCTGCTACAGTGAGTCACCAGCGTTTCCTGCCGCTGCCGGGCTCAAAGCGCTCCACACAAGCAGAGCTAGCCACGGATGCTGCTCCACGTAGCAAAAAGGAAGTACAGAGAAGCAGGGAACTGAATGTCAGGTGGGCTGAGATTTGACTTTTCCTGCTGCTGATGCCGCTAACAAGCTCAGAGTTGTTTAGCTTTGTTGAGGTTTTCCTACTTGGTGTTAAGTGATAGTTTTCCTCATTAGAGTGGATCATCAGCATCCCAGAGTTCCCATGGAAACACCACAGCAGCATCTGGAGGAGAAGAATGACGAAAATGAGCCTGACCTGGAGAAAGATGACATGATGGCTCGTAAGACCAAATCGTTTCAAAAAACAAGTGCGATCAGATCGAATCAGTGCTTCAGTCAGTTCCTGCCCACACCTGGATCAGTCAAATACAGCATGAGCCCGGCGAGTGCAGCCAAGGAGCCACTCAGCAGACCCAAACTCACCCAACACACAGACAGAGAGAGGTATTCACTGGTGCGGTGTGTGTCAGCTACTAAAGCACTAACTTCACTTGGTTTTCCTGCTGTTGTAGAGCCGGTTCTGTCCTCGCTGGTGTTTTCTGCTCTTTGGTTACCAGGAATCCTGGTTGTGGGTTTATAAATGTGAACGTTTCTGTCTAATCCTTGCTGTAGTTTCTAACACGGCTCGCTCAGGTTGTGCTTGGATGTTTAAACTAATTCTTCGGGGACTAACTTTGGCTTTGTTTGGCTCGACGTTGGCTGAGTTCCAGCTGAGTGTGAAACTTTTGGGGTTTTGGTGTAAATCAGAGCCACTCACAAACTGCTGCAGATCTTCTTTCAATTATTAACAGCTTTAAGGGTTAGCTCACCTAAATTATATTAAATATGAAATATGTTCATAATTACTTCATTCATTTGTATGAACAACACAGCGTAATCTTGCATTAGTTGGAAGGAAAATTAAGTCATTGAAACCAAGCACGTATAAATATCCTGCATGCTTGTTGACTAGCCTGAGGATAAAAATCACATTTTTAATAAATCTGCTGTGTGGCTTATATAACAGGATCTAGGTCATGCAGCGTACCAGCTGAACACGTCTCTGCTTTAATATTAGTTTCTGAGAGTGTTCAAAGTATTACTAAATAAGCTGCTGATAAGTTTAAGAGCACAAAATAAAAACTGACAAATCTAAGGCAGCCTTGATGCATTTACTAAAAATCTGATCTTCCTGTTGGATCATGAATTTGTTTTCTAAATTCCAGCTTCATCCCGGGAACTTGGGAAATAGAGAATCTGGTTTGTAAACGTCTGAGAGAACAGATTCTGCTCAGGATTATCCTCCATGCTCTCACAGCAGAACAGATCAGCTGCAGTTCTCTTGTGAGGTGGTTTTGATTTACTCTCTAAGTGTATTTCTTGTTAATCCTAGCCTTCTCATTGGATCGTTGTTTCAGCAGCATTGTTACCGTGGCAGCAGAACATCAGGCTCCGCCCTCCCAAGTCCCAACCAGTCCTACGTGTAGCGGGTTGAGGGCGAGGAAGGAGGGGGAAGAGCATGAAAAGGGAGATGTGATGAATGTTCCTGACCCTGCTGCCAGTGGGGTCACCAAACTTCCTCCTCCTCCTCCCAGTCCTCCTCCTGCTCAGCTCTGTGGGGTGCATATGGAAAAAGTGGACGTGAAGCCAGAAAAGAAACCGTTTTGGCTGGAGAACAATCTACCTCCAATGATGTGAGAAGTCTTTCTGCTCCTCCTAGACAGGACAGTAGACCTGCCAGTTTTTTCTGTCTCATTTATTCTTTCCCTCGTTCCTACGGATGAATTTGAACTCGACGGTCACACCTTAGAAATGAGATGTGCTATTTATCTTTACTCACGTGATTCTGCTGTTGTTTTAGGGTGAGCAGAAGGGTGGCTTTTCAATTAGACAACGAGTAAGTGTTCAGTCAGCTTCTGCATGGTCCTGTATGCATGCCACATGTCAGACCCCCCCCCCCCCCCACACACACACACCCACACACACACACGATGCTCTGTGTTTTTATTCATTATGTTTTTATTGCGCTTCTTAGAACTTGTCATGCTGTAATTTAAGTAAATTTTTATTTTTTAAAAACTGGAAGTTGTCCTGCATGAATGTGCTTGACTTATTGTGTTATATTTGTCACAATCTGCCCCTGCCTCCCTGACTGTGTCTCTCACCTGCCTGATTAGTCTTTATTGTTCTCACCTGCCCCGTGTTAATCCGCCCAGGTGTTCCTGATTGTTTCCCTGAGTATTTATACCTCCCTTGTTCGAGTCTTTGTCGGATCGTTGTTTGTTGTCAGCGTTGTTTTGTTCTGTCGTTCCCGCGCTGCCATTAAAACCATTTTTATTTCATCCGTGCTTGCATTCCTGCCTCCTGATCTGCTCCACCACACATGGTCCGCCGTCATCCACACCCGCAACATGACAATGTTACTTTTTAAAATTAATTTTGTTAGTAAATGTTTTTGTGTACACACACGCACGCACGCACGCACACACACACACACACACAGGAATGACAGATAAGATTTTCACATGTAGGTTTATGCTATTGTGAATACCTTAAGTGAAATGTTTATTTACTACCTTAAGGTTTGAGACCAAGGTTTTTATTATTTTTGATGTGTTGCAGTTGCATCGTGGATTATGTGTTATTTATTTTTGTTACAGCACACATTTGAAACAAACACTATAAGCAGTTTCTCTAAAGTAGACAGGACCAGTGGTATATTAATGGTCTTTTGTTTTCCAGGAGTGTGAGCATGGGGGACATGGGTAACGATGAAGAGCTGGGACACTTACCCTCACTGAGCCGATATGAACGCATGCACGAACAGTACAACAGCTTTCGAGAAGACGAGGACCACTGGCAAGATGTAAGGAGCTTGTTTAAATTGTATGAGGTCATTTTTGCTTTTAGTTAAAGGTACAATAAGTACAACATTAACAGCGGAATAATCACAAAACTGTAATATCTCATGTTGGAGTGAAGGTTACATTGAAACAGATTTCCTTCTTAGCCAGCTAATGAGGGGAGTGTAATTTAAAAATCCCAAGAGGGGTTACCAAGTCTGCACCAGATAACGCCGCTACATTGGCATTTTTAATTCCACTCCAGCCAGCAAAAAGCTTCAGAGTTGTTTAAAGAACTGAAGCCAGTAAACAGGAGTGACTCAGAAGTTATTTATTTTATCCCAAACAAGCCACGGCATCTATAGGCTAGAGGCTAGCAATTAGCAAACAATGCTAACAATGAATTAGAAAAGAATTGTCGACTCTAAAAATATCTCAAGCTACTTTTTCAATTACCAACAACCCAATATTACAGTAAAAAGTATTTATCTACTTACTAATTTACTGTGAATGACTCTACTTCACTCATCTAGAATCGTTTGGTGCTGATCCGTAACTGGCAACAGCCATGAAGCTCTCAGAACAGGAGTGAAAAAGTCACTTTTTTGTTAGTAAACTAGACTGCAGTAACTGTATTTAACCACAGGGGGTCATTCTTACATCATTCACCTTTAAATAACCTGTGAACCCACAACAGGACCTGGCACGCTGGAAGACTCGCCGCCGGAGCGCTTCACAGGAGCTAATCAAAAAAGAGGAGGAGAGGAAACAAATGGAGAAAAGGATGAAGGATGAGGAAGGTGACAGCAATAAGAGGAAAAACATCAAGACTTACAAAGAGATTGTGGAGGAGAAGTAAGAATGAGGCAATTTTTATCGTTTCCTTTCATTATGGGACTGTAGTGTTTCAGAATAATGGCTGAAACACAGGAATAACAACCTCACCACTTGCGTTGTGTCTGTTTACCTGCTCCGCTCTTCTAGGGAGCGCAGAGAAGCTGAGCTCTGTGAAGCCTATCGAAATGCAGCAACTCCAGAGGAGGCAGCCTTGGTTTTACAGCGTTATGCTCTCCGCTTCACCATCAGCGACGCAACACTCGACAGCCTGAAACTTCCCAGATCCACCGCTAAAACTAAACAGGAGCAAAACCGAGAAGAAGAGGAGGAGCGCAAACTAACATCCCCTGTTAGTGATGCAGAGAAGCAGGAACACCTGCACAAACCAAACTCAGCTGTTGCAACAAACCAGAGACAAACACAACCTGAATACATAGAGACAGATGTAATCTCTGAACAGGAGAAGTCACGTGCCATCCCCAACCACTCCCCAGCACCGAACGGTTCTGTCCTGACAGAAACAAACACACAGGATGTTCCTCTGGGGTTGGGACAACTTCAGAAGCTGCCAACAGAGTCGCCACCTGCTCATCAGGAACAGCTGATTACAGAAGAGGCACAACCTCAGACCAAAGACGCTCCCCCTCAGAACGTACAAACAGTGTCACTCCACCCCCCTTCGCCTGTGCCCTCCAGACCCCTCCCCCTGCTGGTGGCCAAGCCTTTCTGCCAGCCCAGGAGCACGTTCTCTGGACACAAACCCATCAAGGTGAAGGTCCAAATCAAACCGATCTGCATACCTGAGCTCATGTTCACCTTCTTAAGTAAAAAGCTATTTATGTTTATGTTTATGTATTTAGCAGACGCTTTTGTCCAAAGCGACTTACGAGTGATAATTGGCATTTTGCCCTTGAGGCTAACAACAACAACTTGACATCAGTCATGGAGAGGAGGGAACAAGGAGTGGACAGTAGAGAGGGGGGACAGGTGCAGGGAGGGTGCTAGTTTAGAAGATGCTCTCTGAAGAGCAGGGTCTTCAGGAGTTTCTTGAAAACTGAAAAGGAAGCTCCTGTTCTGGTAGTGCTTGGAAGGTCATTCCACATTTGTGGAACGATGCATGAGAAGAGTCTGGATTGTCCTGAGCGTGGTGTAGGCACTACTAGCCGACCATCCTGAGATGACCGGAGTGGCCGGGCCGAGACGTAAGCCTTTGCAAGAGGATTCAGGTAGATGGGAGCCGTACCATCTCGGACTTTGTATGCTAGTGTTAGCAATTTGAATTTGATGCTTGCTGCTAGCGGTAGCCAGTGGAGCTCAAAGAACAGAGGGGTGACGTGTGCTCTTTTTGGCTGTTTAAAGACCAAGTTGGCTAAGTTGGGTTTAGTAAGATAAATCTTAAAAACAATAAAGAAAATTAAAACAGTAATTAATAGTTTTTAATATTTGTGTTTGATGAAATTTAGATCTTGAAACTATTTTGGATTTAGATATTACGGAAACAGCCACAAAAAATAAAAATTGACAAGATAATTTTCATTGGAAAAATTAAAAATGGTTTGGTGTTTCTAGCCTGACCAGCCATGCCAATGCGGCTACATTCAGAAGTTTTTCTCAACCCCGCCCACCCTCTCTCAGACGGCTGGACAGACGAGATATTCCAGAGCTGAATTATCGTTCCTGCCTATCTAGTTCAGATTAAGAGTAGCTATTTCACACAGCGTCTCAATCCCAAAACAACGGGAATTAAACAACAAACAAGACATGTTTGAGTTCCTCTATTAGCCAAAAGAACATCATCACTGCAGAAGGATTTTTTTATTTATTTATATCTGTAAAAATTATCTTGTTAATTTGGAAAAACAGCTTTTTTTGTGGCTGAATGCAATACGCATCTATAAGTTATGACCTTTTTAATTGACGGTTTATATTTATGGTATACTGAAATGTAATTATCCATTCATCCATTTTTAGCTGTTTATCTGGGGTTGGATTACGGGGGCAGTAGTAGTAGTGAGAATTTTAATTATAATCAAATTTAATCATCTGTTAATGTGTGTACTCCTATTTTTGGTACATGTGAGGTATAGCACAAATGATGATATTCTACGTTCTACCTTTTAATTCATTTTAAAGTGTGCATGAGTTGGTTTGCTTGTTTTAGATGGGGGTAACGTAACACGCTGCCTCTGCCTGCATCCTGTTCAGGTGGATGTGTTGGTGCAAGTAAAAGGAGAGGCGACGGAGGATTTCCCTTCCCCTCTGGTCTCGCTGCAGGAAAACAAAGATGTTTCCTCCAAACAGACAGAGGAAGATGTTTGTCCAGAGCCGGCTGAGGAAAAAACAAACACCACGGAGCAGCCAGCGCCTCCACAGACAGAAAAATCAGCATCGTTTACAGGCTCTGCCATCAGCTCCCTGATTGGAGGACGCAACTGTATCGTCACAACCACAATAGTGACAGAACTCACACAGACTCACATGGAGCCGCTTCATCCAGAGATCCAGAGCAAAGGACCGGTAATTCACTCAACTCTCGTTTTGCCGTGTAATGTGTGTTTTAGCTTTCTGTTAAAGGTCAGCTCCACTGAAAAAACATTTTTTTCTGATCATAATCAGAGTTTTTCATGCAGGCTGAACATGAAAATGATCTTCTACCCCAATTTCCTGCACCCTGCCGTGTTTTGCCACTCTGGCTGAATTCTCCGCCCTTAAACAGGTAGAACAGAGCTTTTTACCCCAGAGTACGACTTACAAGGCATTCATTCCTGCTAAAGATCACTGCAAATGTATTAAAATAGGAGTAAAGTCGACTTCTAATTCTACTCAAGTTGGCATCAGTTTATGGTCCTGAAGCTCCTACCCCCTCCCCATAATTCCTCATTACAACACGAAAAGCACATTTAATAAACACAATATATAATTATGCCCTTCACTTTAAAGGCCAAGTTCACTTGTTGTTTTCAATACAGTGGCAGTGTCTCTCACCCCTACTGCACACTGGAAGCATCAGCGGTGTGGAACGGCAGCAGAACGCCACTGCCTCAAATAGACTCCATTATAGTCTATGCAGCGTCACAAAGCAGCTGCGACGCAGCAATTTTCAGATGCATCCCAGAAGCAGCGCACCACACCTCGAAGGGTAGGATCGGGCTCTGTTTTTGCCACGAGCCGCTTCTGGGACAGTTAACATAGGGCTAGACAGGAAATCACTTACAGTTTCAGTGTAAAATCCCCACTAATTTTCAAAATAAAAGTATTGCAGCGATGCAATTTCATATATATGAAGCTTACATGTGACCTAATGGCTTGTTTACTCGCAGCATCGTTCCAGAAGTGCAGCGGTGTGTTTTCATGGCTTTATTCCTTGCAATGGAGAGGAACATCATATGACATCAAACAACGATAACATGATTTCCTTCATTTTGGTATAATGGCGGATTGCATAAACAAACCGTAACCTTTGAAGTGTCGAGCGATCGTGTGATCGCGCGAGGAGGTTGGCCCAAGATGAGCACGGCAGAGAAGCGGCTCCGCTGCGACTCTCCCAGTGAGCACTTGAGTGCAGTGATTCTCGCGAGTAAACCGTTCTGTGCTGATGCTTTCAGTCTACCTAAATATGTGAGTATGTAGACTGGCCACGAGCCGTAGACAGAGCCCATTTGTGGGGCAGGATTTACGGTTGTCTTTCAAATAGTCTCTGCATGCAATTGGACAAAGAACAACAAGTCATACTCACCACTAGGTCAGTTAGCGAGGCAGGCCACCATACGCTGTAGAAGAAGACACAAACACATCATTTCCTAAGTTAAGGGCTTAAGTACCTCTGTCTGCTCTTGACTCAAAGAAAGGCCCAAGTCCAAATAGGCTAAAGTTGATGCCAATGCCATCTCACATGAGTTGCCACCATCTTTGTTTCACTGTAACATCCTGCCCTACAAACCAGTAGAGCTCTCTGATTGATCAGACACATGACTGTTCAGGGCTGCTGAGGATCTAATGGAGCTTTGTTAGACTGGCCTGAGAAGCAAAATCTGCTACGGTCTGTCTAGAGTTCTAGGCTAGTGGTCTCTAGTATGAATGAATGCCTTGTGAGATCTGGCGCTCTTGATTCAGGAACTCAAGAGCAGAGGGGAGCAGAAAACAGCAGGATTTGGAGTCTTATTTCCTGATATTCTGACATCTCACCTCTGATTGGATAGCAGCAACATGACTGTTTGTTCTGCAACAGTGATGTTTTACCTCCACAAATAACACAAGCCTGAAGGAGTTCTGCTGTGTAGTGGGGGAGCAAATGCTAACGGTTAGCTTCCAGTGCCTGAAACATGCTCTCCTGTTTCCTGAACGCTAAATCAACAACAGCCTTCCTGGTCGTCAGCCAAGATGGATGAGTCCATGAATGCTAATTTACAGTGTGACGTAACTCTGAGTGGCTTTTCTAATCCGAGAGTTTTATCGTCTGTTTTCTATCTGAAGCAAATGCAGGAAATAAAGGTAGAAGAGTATTTTCACTTTAAGCCTGCATGTGAAACTCAGAGTGACAGATTGGATTTAAAAAATAACAATTAAAAAACGGTTTCTCAGTGAAGTCGGTCTTTTAAAAACCTCACAAAATGACAGACTAAACATCAGAGTTTACCAACTAAAGTAAGTCGAGAACCAGCCATGTGAGGCTTTTTATAATGCCAAGAAAAAAACATTGGAATAGTTTCACTCTTCATACCTGAAACTCACTTTGAATCTCCGCCCTGATAGTATCCACATACAAGAGCAGAAACCAGCGAACGCCTGCAGCACAGAGTGGCTCAGTTCAGTTCAATGGTTCGCACAGATTTCAGTGCTTTTTATCATATTTAATTAATTTATTTGAAAACTCATCCCTCAGGATGGGACCGCAGCAGACCAGGAGAGTGCTCTGCCAGCAGAATCACCCAGCAGTATTGAGGATTATTCCCCCACCATCACAGGTAAACTTAATCTTCATTCATACTCCTAAAATACTCTGCGTGCATATTTTCTGCTGTCTTTTCTTCCGCAACATTTTCTCTTTCTGTCCTGTTCCCTAGAAAATGTCGAGGAAAGCAGTGTGTCTGTGAGTATCTTAGTGCTTCTCCAGCTCCTTCTTCCTGTTCCTCCTTCATCTTCAGATACGACCCTGTCCTGACCTTTTATCTCCAGTGGTCACTGTAGTTGCTGTAGTGAGACTTTGTCCTCACCTTTCCTCTTTTTCTGTCCTTTTGGTTCGTATACGTGTGTGTGTGTGTGTATGTATGTGTGTGTGTGTGTGTGTGTGTGTGTGTGTGTGTGTGTGTGTGTGTGTGTGTGTGTGTGTGTGTGTGTGTGTGTGTGTGTGTGTGTGTGTGTGTGTGTGTGTGTGTGTGGGTTGGTTGGTTGGGTCTGGGTAGATTGAGACCCCCATGTTGAACTTGGCTAAACGTGTTAATCACTGGGTCTGGGACCCCAACGAGGAGCGTAAACGCTTGGAAATGTGGCAGCAGGAGCATGAGCACCTCCTACAGGTACTGTGGTGTAGAGGCGTGTGGGTGCTGCAAAAGCTTTGGAGAAGACCAGCAGCACACGCTGGACTGGGTGTGTCTATAGATGTGGATGTCATGTTCATGTGTGGTCTCTGGGTCACGTGAGCGGTGTTTCTCTTCAGGAACAGTACGAGAAAGAACAAGAGAAGCTGAAGAAGGAATGGGAGAAGGCGCAGCAGGAGGTGGAGGAAGAGGAGAGGAAACACAATGAAGAGGCAGGAACTCCCACGGACAGTCTGATTCATTTATATTGGATAATCTCAAACCTCCAGACATGCTAAGCTGGTCAGGACCATGTTTTTATTTTTGTTTGCTACAACCGTTCCAGGAGAGGCGGATTCTCGAGGAGACTGTTGCACCTCTTAGTCCCTCTGGTTTGCTGCAGTCTGAACACACAAGGACGGCTTTCTCAGAAAACAACAACAAAACAGCAGGAGGAACTGTGACGCCACAGCAGAATGGGAGAAAAATTCTCACCGGCAACGAGGATCAGCATTCGTCAAAGCTTCATTTTTTTCAGGGTGAGTGTGAAGCAGATATTTTTACAGACATTCAGGAGATGTCCACGTGTTTCCATTTACAGCCAAATTAGTCATGAGTCTAATATTATATTTTTATGATGTTTTTAAATAGATTCGTCTTGTGATGGAGAATCTTCGAAGAAACAGGAACTGTGGAAAACCGCTTCTCTGGACCGAAACCCTCAGCTGAACCAGAGTCAGAGTGTTAAAAGGTGTGTGTAGGTCCACATGCGCCAGAGTGTTGTTCAACTGAACTGAATACCTACATAGTGTAGAAGAAATTGGGGGTACTGTCCACAGAGATCTCACTGATAAAAGTAGAAAGAGCAGGGAACAGATTTCTATCCATACTTTACATAAAAGACCCAAATGATGCCCATCGGGACATTTTTCAGGTTTTACGGTAACAAACATGCTGGTGTGTTTGTCTAAATTCTGTTCCTCAGATCAGGATCACATGATGCTGTAACAAATAATCAGCCCTCCTCCCCTCCAACACCCCAGCCCCCGTCACCCAGCAGGTAACGATGCTAACCTCAGATATAAACAGCAATGTAAAAGAGGGAAGGCAGACCTTTGGTTTGAACACGTTCGGTTTTCCTGCTGTTTTTGTGGAGGTGTGTTAGCGGGAGGCGGCTGTGCTCCGGCTGTTCCAAACCTCTGGGAAAAGGAGCTGCTATGATCATCGATACGCTCGGGCTCTTCTTCCACGTTCAGTGTTTTAAGGTGTGTTAGCAGCACGCACACATACAAAAATGGACAAAACATTCAAAGTAGTGGCAAGAGTTACTTAAATATACAGTTTGGACATGAGAAATTGTATAAATTTCTGACACTGAACAGATTCCTGCTTCTCCCTCCTACTGGTTAAAGCAGATTTACAACTGTCATAAACAACACTGCTGCCACTTGCTGTAGCTAGTGCTAACAACAAGCTAATGCTAACACAAGCCAGTTGATAAACCACAAAGTAAAAAGGTCCTCAATGTTGGATAAGAAAAATAATATTCCTTACAAGTCCCGTGGCAGCAAAGCAGGGTCACCATCAGTCCGTGATTCCGTAGCCGCCTTCAGCTTCTTCGGATGAATGTTGGTCGCACAGATGTTGTCATTGAGGTTTTGCTCTTTGCTTTGCCTCCAAAGACAAGGCTCTGTTACTTTGACTTCTAGGCTACGCCATGATGCCAACAAAAAAGCAAACTTCTTTTTCTTCTTCGTGTTTTTTTTTCATTGACAGTCAGTGAACTGATAATGCTAACTGCTAGCTTTTATATTGGCTACTGGCAGAGCAAACGGCTAACAGCCATCGAGCAGGTAGAGAGACCTCCTCTTAGTGCACCTACCTGCTCCACAAAATGGTTAAGTGTGCTTTCTGGTCAGCAGAGGGCTGCAAGCTGGTAAAGTTTCTACCTACACAATCACTGAAACCCAATTTTAAAGGAATAGCATAAAATGTTACAAAAACAGTAATGTGTGCTTTTATGACATTATTATGACATCATGTTAGTTTTGTGTGCAGTTTATCTAAAAAGACTCAAACCATGATGGACGTCTGAAACGTTTTCCTGTATGCTGAATGTTTGTGGACCGGGTTTTGTCTCAGTGTGGAGCTTGCAACGGGCAGCTGGGCGACGCCACTACAGGGACGGATGTACGGATTCGCAACGGACAGCTGAGCTGCTATGAGTGCTACATCGCATCTCGGGGTGAGAAACATTCTCACGTTTTTCACCACAATCACAGATACATGTTACTCCTGTTGTTGTTAAGAAGCAGCTATTAAGTTTGTGACCCAACTGGCCTCTGAAGGAGACGGTTGAAGAGACGACCTGATGCTCACAGGAAGTTGTCTGTTGTCTAGAAGGGGAGAAACCTTTTTTTCTCCTACTTGTGAGTCTGTAGGTTTCCTTCCACGGATGTTAAATTAGTAGATGGCTGTTGGTGACTTGCACGGTGATGGCCAGGTTTATTAGTAAGAAAATATCGATGCTCTGAAGTATGACGATATTTCATGTTGTGATACTGAATCTGTGTTTAAAAGCAGTTTGTCGGTTTTTATTGAGACTTTACAAACATTTACTGTTTCTTTTGTGTGGTGCAAGTTTAAACTCAGACTACCAGTTGGCAGCAGGAATTTACCGCCTTCATTCTATCGAAACAAGATCTTGTGATAAAACCTGAGTTTTTTAATTCAGTCTTAAAAATGGCAAATATCATCTGAATTTTAGTATCGTAACATAGTATATCATCTTCCCTGTATTGTGATATATATCATATCGCCAGATTCTTGCAGCACACACCCCAACACTAGTGTGTGAGGTCTATCTTCTGATTTAAGCTGATTTACTGCATCAACACTGCTTCCAACAGTCCCAAAGTGGACCAAATCTCCTAGGGTCTACCTTTTATATAAAGCACACGTCCTTTTATGTGTTTGCAGGCAGAGGTCAGCCCACTACACTATAATGACTCTTTTTGGAACTGGAACTTCAGTCAGAGGCGGCGACTCAACAAATAATGATTCTTGAGTCCCACTCTGGGAAAATTCAGGAATGCTCCGATTCTTTTGGGGACATCATCTTAGTCGGTTGGTTTGGACAGAGAAATGGGACTAACATGGACTTCATGACAAAGAACTCATGTTGTACTTTTTAAAAGTTCACATGTATACAATAATTTTAATTTGTGTAGCATGACTAAATCAGTGTGCTTAGAGGATTTCTCATTCTGAACGTTAATTGTGGATCTCCTCCGTCATCAGCAAGAGCTGAAAAATAACTGGTTTCTAAATTCTGACTCAGTAATTCCTGCTTCTGCCCTGATTATGTGACTCCACTCAATAAGTGTGATGGTTTGTGTTGGATAACCTGCAGTAGCCTGGCCATAACTTCCTGTTTATTTTGGCTTTGCTTTACTGTTAAGCATGGAGAGCTGTTTAAGTTAATGTGAGCATTACTCAGTGGATCATTGGTTTCTCAGCGCTGGAGCTTAAACTGCTGTACATCGTTACTTTCATTTTAAACTGTTAGAACATTTTTCTTAGTAATTCTAATACAAATATGCATGTTATTAAGTAATAATATAAACTATTTTCCCTTGTTGATGTTTTATCTTTATGTTTGTTCTCATAGACTGAATTTAAATCAGTGCCTTATGTAACGAATGCAAAGGTGACCTCTGGGTCTAGGCACAATGTGTGTGTGCGCGAGTGTGTGTGTTTACAGAATAGATATGAACTCTGTGTGATTGGACCTGAAGCACAATCTCATACCAGCAAAAAACAATGTTGTAAGACATCAGCCCTTCCTAATCACCTGCTGTTTTCTTCCAACTCCTCTAATGAACTAAACCAATGACAGAAATATATTTGAAGCTTCCTCGTCAACAACTTTTGTCTCATGACTATTTGAGATGTCCTACCGTCTCCCCTCGTCTGCCTCTCGTCACAAGCGTTGCCTCACCAGAATAAGAGCTGAGCTACTTTCTCCTCAGCACCTCTTCATCTTTCAGACGAACATGCTTGTTTTATAACCTCTGTATGTTTATCAATAAAGTATTTTAAACGGGTGTTTTTATTTACTGGCTTCATTTGTTTTCTGCAGCTACTTTAGATTTTTGCTTAATTTAAACAAACGCGTAAGACCGAGGGATGAAGTGATGTATTCACAGAACTTCCTGCAACATGAACGGTGCTCCGACATTCTTCTTCTCTCATCCAACAAGAGCTTTAGCAATAGCTCGGCCTAGTGTGTAGTCCAGAATAGCGATAGCATTTCCATGACCAGTGTTTATATATTGCTAACTTTATCTCCTGTCATATTTTTCTTTATATCATTTTAATATTTTATGTCCTTGGAGTATCTGAGCTGAGCTTGGCTTTAGAGAAAGGCTCATCTTGCTGCTTTTTTGCTGTATAGATAACCTTAAAATTCTTAAACATGTCAGATCTGGAAGGGATTATAATTCAGTTAGTGATTTGTAAATCTGTGGTTCTATTTAAATTAATCATTTCACATTTTTGTGCCTCACGACAACCTTTGATCAAGTTGAAAAAGTACAACAGTGAAAATAATTATCTGTTAAAAACTGTTTCTCAAAAATAAAATAAAAATGTGGTCTGGTGTATTTTCTGTCTGTGTCCAGCAGGGGAAGCAGACAACCAGGACAGGACGTAAAATAAAGAAATCTCAACTTCCTTTGAATTAAAATGACAAAGCAGGAAACCCTGATACAATAGCAGTTTAAATTATTTATGTTAAATTTTTGCTTTATTTCATTTTTCACTTTCAGCTACTTAACCTACAAATGAATAGAAAACACATTTAATAAAGTATTATCTTACCAGTTAGAAAATAACTACACACATACAACAAATTTCCAACAAATATCTGTGAGTAAACCTGATCATTTTTACCGTGATCCAACGATCAAACTTGTCTCTCTCTGCTGACACTGATCAGATAAACTCATCTGAACTTAAATGGAACCAAAAGTTTTTAAACACGTGAAACCGTGCTGACTGTATGTTTTTAATCTTTTGTTTTTCCTCTTCGACTTGTTGAGTTCAGACTTGTCCGCTGTCATGAGCCGGGGTGAGTACTCTTCACTTCATACACAACCTCTGAGCTCTGATTGCAGGAGAGGGAGCAACAGCTGATCCTCATCAGCGGGCCGGCTTTATAAGGAGGAGGGTGACCATGCTACGACGCCGGATGATTGCTACTAACTGGTAGTCACTTGCCCTTCGAGTTTCACTAAGACTTTGATTCGATTTTTGTGTGCTTGGATTTTTGAAGACTCGCTCATGTGAATTTTTGGTACTTACCTCAGGTTTCTGCATCCTTGGACCTGCATTCTCTGGAAGAAGTTCTGCGGTTCGTTTCCTGCTTCACCTCTCTTCCAGCCGACCCGCTCTCCACCGCGCTCACGCTCCCTCTCCGTATCAGCCTCCTCAACCAAATCCTCCATACATTCATCCTCTTGGACCGTGACCGCACTCTGGATATCACCCCGGCTCACTCCCCCTCCATTTTCCTGCTTCACTTCCGCATAATAAGTCCTGACTATTTCCCAAGAACTACAGCTCCCATACTCGCCTCTGTTTTCCCTGTAGACGCCGCTTCCTGTCTCTCTACCGCATCAGTGCGCCCTTAGTTTCTCCTGTTAATAATAAAACTTTTTTTTTTTTTTACCTTCATACTTGCCTTGGTCTCTGATTCTGCATGTCTTGGGTTAAGCACATACCTCAGATCATGACACCAGCCCGCAGTCTGATGATCGGTTTCTGTGCTCCATTTGTCTGGAGGTGTTCACCGATCCAGTCAGCACGCCATGTGGATACAACTTCTGTAAAACCTGCATCACCCAACACTGGGATGGTGAATATTTTTACTCGTGTCCCCTGTGTAATGAGAACTTTTGCATGAGACCTCAGCTCAGAGTCAACACCTTCATCAAAGAGATGGTTGATCTGTTCAGACATGAAGCTGAACAAAACACCAGCAGCAGCTCAGAGCTCCAAGCTACCAAACCAGGCGAGGTTCCTTGTGACGTCTGCACTGGAACCAGGCTGCAGGCCCTGAAGTCCTGCCTGGTGTGTCTGCTCTCCTACTGTGAGACTCACCTGGAGCCTCACCTGACAGCTTCACGTCTGGAAAGGCATCAGCTGGTGGATCCTGTGGACAACCTGGACGACAGAATGTGTCAGGAACCGACCAGGCGTGCGTCTGCTCGGTCTGTTCTGTTTTAGATCACTAGACTCATGAGTTTGTTCCTCTGAGAGAAGAACATGAAAGAAGGCTGAGCTGGAGAAGACAGAGGCTGAAGTTCAGCAGATGATCCGTCACCGACGACTGAAGATTCAGGAGACCAGCGTCAGTGAAGACCAGTAAAGATGCTGCAGCCAGACAGAAAGCAGATGCTGTTCAGGTCTTCACTGATCTGAAGAAGTCTGTTGGGAGAAGCCTGAAGGAGCTCATAAAGGAGATTGAAGACAAACAGAAAACTACAGAGAAGCAATCTGTAGGCATCATCAAAGATCTGGAACATGAGATCTCTGAGCCAATGAAGAGGAGCTCAGAGGTGATGCAGCTCTCCTGCTCTGAAGACCACCTCCACCTCCTCCAGAACTTCATGTCCCTGAAAGCTGCTCCACCCACCAAGGACTGGACAGAGGCAGAGTTCCTCCTCCATCATATGAGGGGACAGAGCTGTGGAGCAGCTGGAGGAGATGAAGAGGTTTCAGCTGAAGAGGGTCCAGCAGTTTGCAGTAGATGTGACTCTTGATCCTGATATGGCTCATCCTGATCTCATCCTGTCTGCTGATGGAAAACCAGTCAGGAGCTTCCGGTTGGCAACAAGATGGCGCCTGTGCTTGGCTTAGCCGCGGTCACCGGCCACTTTTTCAAACTTTTCTCCACTAACCTCCTATTTTCCACCTTGCTCCGTTCTGTGATCCTCTTCAGTAGTGTCCCTGCTACCATCTCCTATGATCACCAGACTCTTTTGTCCTTCCGTTCGTTCACGATTGCCCAAGATGCACCGAGGACGTACCATCCTGTTTGTTTACCTGAGTGGCGCACCGGCCCGGAACCAATCGACAGTCCCGAGCTGCGCACCTCCGGCTATGTTTGTCCGGTCCCGGGAAAACCTCGGAGGAAAAGAGGTAAACGAGCAGGAATCCAGGTGAGAATAAGACTTCTCTTAAAGCGTGGTTTATCTGGTAAACATCGGTGCAATCTTCTAGCTTCTTGTCCTTTGTTTGGTGACCTGAGCGCCACTTCCGCATTCCCGCCAGGCCGCGTTGGAATGTGGTTCATCCGTCCAAGTTTTTTAAGGTCGGTTTATCCTCATTCCTCAGTGGTTTCTCCTCCTGTTCCCTCCATAAGTGGTTTTCATAAACACCGTGGATCTAACCCTGCTAATTTACGTCCACTAACTCCAGCTGTTTCTGTAGTTTCTGATTCCTCCACCTCACTCAGCATTGCTCTATTAAACACCCGCTCTGTTAACAATAAGTCCTTCCTGCTCAATGATCTAATTCTGTCTAAAAACCTGGATTTTCTTTTTCTGACTGAAGTTTGGCAGCAAACATCTGATTATTCTGGTCTGATTGAACTCTGCCCGAGTGGTTATTCTTTTCTTAGCCAGCCCCGGGGTTCTGGTCGTGGTGGAGGCCTAGCTGTTGTTTTCAGAGACCATCTTCCATGTAGCTCTGCAACCTCTGGTCACTTTGCTTCCTTTGAACTGCAGCTGATTAAAGTCGGGCGTAAGGACCCGTTCTACTGTGCTGTGGTCTATTGTCCACCTGGTCCAAACAGTTCTTTCCTTCAGGAGTTCAGTGACTTTCTATCCTCCACTGTGAAGCTGTCCAGACTGGTGATTGTTGGTGATTTTAACATCCACGTTGAAGATCCCTCTGATCACTTTGCCATGAATTTCTCCAGCCTTATGGACTCCTTCGGCTTTACCCAGCATGTTTCTGGCCCCACACACACCAGGGGGCACACTCTAGACCTTGTTTTTACCCTGAGTCTAAATGCTGACAGTGTTTGTCCCGAGGACGTTTATATTTCAGATCACCATTGCATTTTCTTTAACTTGTCAGTTTCTGCGTCCCCACCTCCTGCTCGCCGTATAGTTAGTTCTCGTTTTCTTAATGAGAGCACAGCTAGCAATTTTTCTGCTGTTTTTGATCCACCCTGTTCTTCTGATAATGACCCAGATTGCTTAACTTCTCAGTTTAACGAGCACTGCCTCTCCATTCTGGACAACATCTGTCCTGTCAGAAGCAGATCAGTTCCTGCAGTGAACCCTACTCCCTGGTTTAATGACAGCCTTCGCAGCCTGAAGCGCCAATGCAGGAAAATTGAGCGTTTGTGGAAGAAAACCCATCTCCACGTCCATCTGCTGCACCTAAAGGATCTTCTGACATCCTTTAACTCTGCAGTCAGAGACGCTAGGTTTTCCTACTTTTCCAACCTGGTGTCCCAGAGCAAAGGGAACCCCAAGGTGCTGTTTAACACCATCAGCAGCATCGTCTCTCCTACAGCCTCCATCCACTCTGTTACAGACTGTGAGAACTTTCTGTCTTTCTTTGTGGACAAAGTCAATAAGGTTAGATCTAGCATCTCTCCTTCAGCCTTATCGTTGCCTCTCCCGACTCCAACCAGGCCCATCATCCTAGATAGCTTTGCTCCTGTTTCTTTGCCTGAGTTAACCAAACTAGTTAACTCTATGAAGACCTCTGCATGCCCCCTCCACATCTTACCCTCATCTTTGTTTAAAAGTGCTTTTCAGTCCATCGGTCCCAGCGTGCTCTCTATAATTAATGCTTCTCTGGTCTCTGGTCAGGTCCCTGCTTACTTTAAGAATGCTGTAATCCATCCGCTTCTTAAAAAACAGAGTCTCGGCCCCTCTCTCCATAGCAGCTTCAGACCCATCTCTAAACTTCCGTTCATCTCCAAGATCTTGGAAAAGGTTGTGGCTAAACAACTCACAGCTGCTCTTGATGAACATAACATCTATGATAGCTTCCAGTTAGGTTTTCGTAGAGCTCATTTTACTGAAACAGCTCTTCTTAGGGTCTCTAATGACCTTCTGACTCACAGTGATGCAGGGGACTGTTCTGTTCTGGTCCTGCTGGACCTGACTGCAGCCTTTGACACTGTTGACTATCACCTGCTACTGGAGAGGCTGAGAGACTGGGTAGGCCTATCAGGAACTGCTCTGGAGTGGTTCTCCTCTTATCTTTCTGAGCGCTCCTTTTCTGTGGCCGTCTCCAAGTTTAGGTCCTCCACCACCTCTCTTACCCATGGTGTCCCACAAGGTTCTGTGCTGGGGCCTCTGCTCTTCCTCCTCTATCTGCTTCCTCTTCAGCACATCCTGAGCTCCTTCAAAGGAATCTCCTACCATCTTTATGCAGATGACATCCAACTGTACATCTCCTTTAAGCCCCATGAGATGTCTAAGCTGCAGCTGTTACACACCTGCTTAGACTCTATCAAAACCTGGATGGTGGGAGCTTTCTTCAGCTGAATGAAGATAAGACTGAGATCCTCATCTGTGCCCCAGACAAGCTGGTTCCCAAAGTCAGAGACTCTCTTGGTCAGCTTGCTTCTCACACCAAACCTTCTGTCAGGAATCTTGGTATGACCTTTGACCCAGCTCTCACCCTGGATTCTCATGACAGTTCTCTTGTTGGCTCTTCCTTCTTCCATCTCAGGAACATTGCTAAGCTGAGTCCCCTTCTGTCTCGCTCTGAACTTGAGACAGTTCTCCACACCTTCATCTCCTCACGCTTAGACTACTGTAACTCTCTTTTCACGTGTCTGAGCAGAACCTCCCTGAACCGTCTACAGGTGGTTCAGAATGCCTGTGCTTGGCTTCTGACCAAGTCCTCCAAGCACACCCACATCACCCCGCTTATCCTCCAGCTTCACTGGCTGCCAGTCAACTTCAGGGTTCATTTCAAGATCCTGGTTCTGGTCTATAGGGCCTTACATGGACAAGCACCATCATACATTGGTGATCTTCTTAGTCCCTACACCCCCAGCAGGTCCCTGAGGTCCAGTGACAAAAGCCTACTGGTTGTGCAGCACCAGGCTAAAGGTCAAAGGTGATAGATCATCTGCTGCTGTGGCCCCCAGACTCTGGACCTCTCTCCCCCTGAGCCTGAGATCAGTGGACTCAGTGGTCTCCTTCAAAAAGCAGCTGAAGACTCACTTGTTCAAGCTGGCTTTTGTATGACCTTCTTCACCTCTCTCTCTTTATTCTGCTCTCGCCACCTATTCCACCTTCCTCAGGATCCACTGATTTCCCTCTTTCCTGTTCACTCAGAATCAGAATAAGCTTTATTGCCAGCACTCCAGCGACCCAGAGCATAGGAACTTGACTCCGCAACACAACCTGACCAAGGTTAAACACACACACATGTAGACAAAAGCAGGTACAGGCAGTTACGAGAGCAGCCAGAACGGCGCTCATTTCTTAACATTTTTTCTTTTAAATCCCAATTGCCTATTTTTGCTCATTTTAAATATATTTTTAAACATTTTCCAAATGCTTTTTTATATTTTAACATTTTTGTTGTTTTTGTGAAGCACCTCGTGATTTTTATCTTGAGAGGCGCTATAGAAATGATATTTTCTTCTTCTTCTTCTTCAGTCCATGATGGAGATGCCAAGAAGGATCTTCCAGGCAACCCAGAGAGATTCTCCAACTGCCCGTGTGTTTTAGGGAAACAGAGTTTCTCTTCAGGCAGATCTTACTTTGAAGTTCAGATGACAGGAAAAACCAACTGGGCTGTGGGCGTGGCCAGAGCGTCCGTCAAAAGGAAGGGAGGAATCACACAGGGTCCTCAAAACGGTTACTGGACTGTTTGGTTACAAAATGGAAACTGGTACATAGCTTCTGCTGACTGTCTGGTAGATCTGCACCTTAGGTCTGGTCCTGAGAAGGTGGGGGTGTTTGTGGATTATGAGGAAGGTCTGGTCTCCTTTTATGATGTCGAAGCTGCAGCTCTGATCTACTCCTCTACTGGCTGCTGCTTCACTGATAAGCTCCACCCGTACTTCCACCCAGGGCTGAATGATGGAGGGAAAAACTCTGATCCTCTGTCCTGCCGATCAGTCAGTCTAATCTTTTCTCTGGTGAAGCTCCAAGAACAAAGAATCAGGTTGAAAGTGACTGTGGGTGAAGTCCTGCTGGTGGAGAGGGTACGTGCCGGAATAGAACGAAAACGAGTCAACACTTGATGACCGCTACCCTCCGTCTTAGACTGAAACGCTTGTAACCTGAGGCTGAGGCCTTCCCTGGAGAAGGCAGGAGAGCGTGGAAGAAAGTCTCACCAGAGTGGGACTTTTTTCAGACATTGAATATATGATATTGAATTCTGTGAAATTATCAATTTGAAATTTTTTAACTTAAAAAACACCAGACAAAATGTAACTCATCAAAATGATCAATCAAGTCAACACCTCACTTGTGTCACGTGATCACAGAAGCTTAATTTGATTGGCTAAAAGCCACTCAAGTTGACTCAATTAGTGATGATTGCTTTTGCTTGGGTCACCAGGAGGTCACCTCAGTTGATGAATTTCTGAAGTTGATTTTTTTTGGATGAAACCTTTGCTGGTGTTTTTTTTATATTTCAAATACATAATTTCATAGAATAAAAACTCAATGTCTAAAAAAAGTCAAATTCTGATGAGACTATTTGTTCCATACAGGGCAAGCCACTAGCGCTGATGATTCCTCTGCTACCTGTGAATCAGAAGGACACGCCCCTCAGTAGCATATTCATAATTTCAACCTGTAATTTCATCTGAACAGATGCACTACAAATAAATCCACCCCCTCGGAGTTTTGTCAAGATGGTACACTTGACCTATTAATCCTAAAATGTGTTTTTGAACCAGACTGTAAACATGTTTGTTTCTGCTGCGAAGTTGGTATTTTACCATGGGAGTCAATGGGAACTTGCTCCTTTCTGGATTCTTCCCCTAGTGGATGAGGGAGGTACTGCAATTTGCGTCACTTCCGGTTGGCTTCATTTTAAGCGGCTGGAGTTTGCTGTTGGATTTTAGTCATTGTTCTAAACGTGTTTATCTTTAATCTTTTTTCCATAACTTCTAATAATAAATAAATTAGCTCTTTGACGAAATTATTAACTGGATGTTTTTGTATTTTTAGTTTTTCTGTAAAATCTACTAATAGCCTCAATAAAACAATAAAATTCATCTTGATGTTGATATTTTTCTCTTTTAACCTCGCTGGTTTTAAACATATTTTTGGTTTTTAAATAAATTATTTTGAACAGATTCAAGTCATTACGATTGTTAAAATTTAGGTTAAATATGTTTCTGATTAAAGTACATTTAAATTTAATTGATCATTGAGAAACAAATATAAACAAAAAACAACAATCTGTTTTGTTGAGTCCATTTTTTTTTACTTACAAAAATGTTGTCAAAACAACAAAAACAAAAAAACATGTTTTAAGTTTTTGTCTATGAACGGACCCGAGACAAAGCTCCTAACCACTAACCTAACCTGTGCCGGTTCTGGGCCAGGGTTCTGGGGTGGTATGGCTCCTGCTGTGGTCTTGATCCACATCACAAAGATCAGGCTGACGTGACCTGAATGTGTAAACTATATTTATTTTAAACTGTGGATTTTGTTAAATCTTGTTATGATTTGAATCCACAGAAGGGCACCTTCTGATAGTCAGAAGATGAAACAACAGCTCAAAAATGAATTTTCACCCTCAGGCAAAAAGGAAGTTTTCTCTCAGTTAGTGAAAAAAAAATCATCTCCAAGTGTTTTAAGTTTGTCTTTATAATTAATAAATGTTATAATTTAAACATTTTATTTATCATTTTCTAAAAGTTTTACTCCAACATGGATGATAATCAGTGTCTAAGGCTCATTCTGAATGTTTGTTTAGGAGAACTTCCTTAAATAACAGATTGTGTTCAAAACAGGTGACCCTGTGTTCACATGAAAATACACCTGTTTAATGATTGATTTGTTATTTATTTGTCTGTGTGACATCATATGGGTGAACCAGAATCTGTGTAAACAGAACCAAACCAGAACAACAACTGGATGCTTCATACTCAGGATGTTAAGGTGTAGTTAACATTTTCTAGTCCAGGTGTCAAAGGTCAAATTAAGATGTCTTAGGTCCATTTCTGGCCATCTGGCCTTATTTTGTGAACCCTAAACTAAAAGCAGCTGAGTCCGTATTAGTTCCCTGTGTGGTTCTATGGGTTTGGGTCCATCTTCTGTTCAGATCCCTGGCTGATCCCACAGTAATAAACCGCTGTGTCGCTCTGCTCGGAGTGCCGCAGCAGCAGAGAACCATCAGCTGCAGCTGAGACTTTATCTGGACCGACAGCGGTTCCGTACTTAATGTTAGAGCCGTCTGCAGGTCTGAAGCTGACGAGGAGCTCAGGTGCATGCCCTGCTGCCTTCCTGTACCAGCTGACGGTGGACGGGCCACTGGGGGACACCATGTGGTTGGCTGTGGTGGCGTTAGAGCCGTCCAGCAGGGGGCACTGTAGCATGGCGTCCTCACCTGATCTCACCTTGATAGTCTGCATGCCTTCTGCTATCTGCTGGAAACCTGCAGAACAGAGAAAAACTAAAACTAAATTAAAAAAGACAGAAGATTAAAGTAAAACATGAAATAATAATTTTGAATATAAACAAAGCCTCACATTATGAAATGATACAAGCTGGTTTTTCCTGTATTTGTACAGCAGGTCAATGTAAAATAACTACATGTTTTAATTAACAATTCACCTTATTAAAACATCTTTTGATCAGATTAAACCTTCAAAATAAGGTTAAAAACTGAACTATAAAAGGGAAACCACTAAATTATGAATGAAAATAAATCAAATTATTATTGTTTTCCTTAATAGTGCAAAAAACTGTGTGATGTTTCAATGATTTCTTTATTTTTCACAATCAACAGATGTCAAAAGAATCCCAGATGGCTTGTTTATATAAAACGTTTTGACTTGACTTTTTTATTCACTCAGTCAAGATGCTTTTATTTTGACAAGATTTTTTTTCTATTCAACTAAATATATTCCAGCTTTTTAAGATATTGCTCATTAGTTAACAGCATTTTTATTCTGGATTAAGAAATACATTTGAAACATCTAATAATAACAACATCTAACTCACCACTGAAGTGCAGGAGGATCACCAAGAGCAGCATGGCCATCTTCAGAAACCGACTGAGGAACCAGATGCTGTTATTGTTCTGAAAATCAGCAGAGCGTTAAAGTCAGAAACAACTGACAGAAAAACATGTGCTGGAGTTTCCTGGTTTTATTCCCTCGGTAACTTTTATTCTCCAGCTGATGCTTTTCACACAAAATTCAAGAATTTATTTAAATAGGACTTAAAACATACAAATTATTGGCTATTATTTTACACATGTTGGCATTCATAATTTAACATGTTGATTCTTTAAAAAAACACAAAAGTAAACACTCAATCTTTTCCTACAGATTAAATTTCTTTTGTATGAAATTTGTTTTTTTTTTGTGTGAAATTATGGAATGAGTTAAATTATGACTTGATGATATGTACATCTTTATCAAAGTTTAAAGCATACGTGTCAAACATTTAATGATTATGAAAGTGTGTGTAATAATGAAAATGTTTTAGAGGTTATTTGTTTGTTTGCTTGGGGGGGGGGGGGGGTATATAGGTTATTTGATTTAGGTGGAAAATAAGGTAGGCTAAAATAAGCATTGTTATTCCTTTTTTGGTTGTAATTTATGTTGTTAATCGTGTTGCTTTAATAGAAAACTTTTATTTTTATTAAATATTTAGAAAAAAATTATTGTTTGATGTTAAGTTTAGATTTATTAGTTAGCTTTTGTTTTCCCTTTCAGAGAAACATTTCTGATCAGATCATTCAGGATCTGTTGACCCTCTCTGATAGGTTTTCTGCTGCGGTTGGACCTCTGTCTCGAAGCCAGAGGATTTAAATATTGTGTTTCCATCTGGTTGACCTAAATGATGCATAGAAATCCCTTATAGACAGAGGGTATAAACAAACTAAATGTCAGTTTACAAGTAGGTAAATTAAAAGTTTATAGGAAAAGTAACCAGTAACCAAACAGAAATGCAGTTCTGTTGTATAATTTTTTTCTTTGTCTAAATGAACTTTTAGAAGGGTTCCATGGTGGAAATACTTCCTGTAAATTCTTGCAAACACCATGTTTTGTTCTTCTCAGTTTAACGAGCACTGCCTCTCCATCCTGGACAACATCTGTCCTGTCAGAACCAGTTCCTGCAGTGAAACCTAATCCCTGATTTAACTGGGGCGACGGCGGCACAGGCGTTAAGTGCTCGCCCCGTAATCGGAAGGTTGCAGGTTCGAGCCCCGCTCAGTCTGTCGCTGTCATTGTGTGACACGTTGCCTGCTGGTGGTGGTCGGAGGGACCGGTGGCGCCAGTGCTCGTCAGTGCGCCCCCAGGGCAGCTGTGGCTACATCGTAGCTCATCCCCACCAGTGTGTGAATGGGTGAATGACTGATTGTGTTGTAAAGCGCCTTGAGGGGATTCCAGGACTCTAGAAGGCGCTATATCAAATACAAGCCATTTACCATTTACCAATTTACAACATGCGCAGCCTGAAGCGCCAATGCAGAAAAATTGAGCGTTTGTGGAAGAAAACCCATCTCCACGTCCATCTGCTGCACCTAAAAGATCTTCTGACATCCTTTAACTCTGCAGTCAGAGACGCTAGGGTTTCCTATTTTTCCAACCTGGTGTCCCAGAGCAAAGGGAACCCCAAGGTGCTGTTTAACACCATCAGCAGCATCGTCTCTCCTACAGCCTCCATCCACTCTGTTACAGACTGTGAGAACTTTCTGTCTTTCTTTGTGGACAAAGTCAGTAAGGTTAGATCTAGCATCTCTCCTTCAGCCTTATCGCTGCCTCTCCCGACTCCAACCAGACCCATCATCCTAGATAGCTTTGCTCCTGTTTCTTTGCCTGAGTTAACCAAACTAGTTAACTCTATGAAGACCTCTGCATGCCCCCTCCACATCTTACCCTCCTCTTTGTTTAAAAGTGCTTTTCAGTCCATCGGTCCCAGCGTGCTCTCTATAATTAATGCTTCTCTGGTTTCTGGTCAGGTCCCTGCTTACTTTAAGAATGCTGTAATCCACCCGCTTCTTAAAAAATAGAGTCTCTACCCCTCTCTCCATAGCAGCTTCAGACCCATCTCTAAACTTCCGTTCATCTCCAAGATCTTGGAAAAGGTTGTGGCTAAACAACTCACAGCTGCTCTTGATGAACATAACATCTATGATAGCTTCCAGTCAGGTTTTCGGAGAGCTCATTCTACTGAAACAGCTCTTCTTAGGGTCTCTAATGACCTTCTGACTCACAGTGATGCAGGGGACTGTTCTGTTCTGGTCCTGCTGGACCTGACTGCAGCCTTTGACACTGTTGACCATCACCTGCTACTGGAGAGGCTGAGAGACTGGTTCGGCCTATCAGGATCTGCTCTGGAGTGGTTCTCCTCTTATCTTTATGAGCACTCCTTTTCTGTGGCCGTCTCCAAGTTTAGGTCCTCCACCACCTCTCTTACCCATGGTGTCCCACAAGGTTCTGTGCTGGGGCCTCTGCTCTTCCTCCTCTATCTGCTTCCTCTTCAGCACATCCTGAGCTCCTTCAAAGGAATCTCCTACCATCTTTATGCAGATGACATCCAACTGTACATCTCCTTTAAGCCCCATGAGATGTCTAAGCTGCATCTGTTACCCTCCTCTTTAGACTCTATCAAAACCTGGATGGCTGGGAGCTTTCTACTGCTGAATGAAGATAAGACTGAGATCCTCATCTGTGCCCCAGACAAGCTGGTTCCCAAAGTCAGAGACTCTCTTGGTCAGCTTGCTTCTCACACCAAACCTTCCGTCAGGAATCTTGGTGTGACCTTTGACCTAGCTCTCACACTGGATTCTTTGGAGATGGAGTTTTAGTAGTTAAGTCATTTATATACATCATTATGTTCTGGCTTTCCCATTATTTAGACTAACTATGTCGTTAACACTCATTTTAAACCTGCAGTTATTCTAAGCCGTATAGTTTATTTTGAAGAAATCCACAAGAAGTTCTGTTGAGTCTTGTATTGTTTATCTTTATGAATGCTGCTTGTAGAAGATAGACTGTTTTGTTCCAGTGGGTGGAAAAAATCCTTAAACACAGCTTACTTTATAGGTCGATGCTTAACCACCATGTTTAAAACAGACTTTGCTTACCTAACTGATAATTCAAAATTTTCCATTTGCTTTGCAAGCAGGCTAAACATTATACACAACACACTCGCTGTCATGAAACAAAATAAAACGCTGTAAGTAGAAATATTAAGGGTAACAGGTTTTGATGTTTCACCGGAACTCGTTTTCCGCTAGGAACAAAGGTTTATTAAGGGACGGAACAAGAATAAAGTAGGACCGGAAGTTTACCACCCGAGTTGCGGATGTGAATTAATGTTGTTTTCGCAACAATTTGCTGTTTAAAACCAGTCGAAAAACAAATGGGCTCAAAGGGACCTTCTATGTACGCAGTACGTACCTATTGTTTATGTTTACAGTTACCATGTCAACGAGTTTTTATCCGGGTAATAGTGCTAGCTGGGGCGATCAGCTGTTAGCATCACGACTCAGTCATGTGACGTTTTGATGATCATATGAAGAGAATGGCAGCAATGAACGCATTTATAGACTATTAAAGAAAACTTTTATTGCTGTTTTATTTTGGTTTCTTGTCAGTTTTTAGAGGAAACAATACTGGACCTTCGGTGTACGCATTCAGATTGTAAATCACACTTTGTTTCAGGTCCTCTTACTCGCCACCTATAACTGGTTAGGCGCATTATTTATTATTTGATGCTCCCAAAAGCTTTGGCTAAACCCAGATTGCCACTTTTTTGTAAATTACTAAATTCTGTTTTTTTTAATACTCCATACTTTAAACCTAATGTTTACACATTTGTTTTCTTCAGCTTTCATGTCCTAAGGATTAGTTTAGTTCATCAGGGGAACTACTTTTTATTTTTTTATTTGCTCATTTGACGAAACCTCTCCTTCATCTATACCAACAGACACATTCGATCAGTAAAACACGGGGGTAGTGCATTTGTTTACCAGAGATTATTATTGTTTTTACTCCATCTGAACAGGAAAGTCCTTCAGCAGACATGTCTCGGAGCATAGAGGAGGACTCTTTGGTGGAGGGACCCCTGATCTCTGCTGATGCCCTCCACTCTGCCATCAGGAAACAGTTTCAGCCTGTACCAACACCCTGCCCAGCTGGCATGCTGTCTCTGCTGCATGTATGAAGTGCAAATCTCATCACACATTTTTAGGATTTTTGGAGAAAATAATCTGAATTGAATTGTAAATTTGGCTAAAATTCTGCCCAATCTGTCTGACTCCTTTCTCTTGTACTTTCCAGGTTCTGTATGTTGTGTTGTCGATGTGTGTGGCTCTGCTGTGTGTGTTGGAGTTTGGCCAAAAGGAGGTGTGTATGAGCATTTTGGGCAGTGTTCACGGCGACAGTGTCATTGTGTTTGGGAAGGTGTTTTTGTGGCTTCTGGTGCTGTTGTTCAGTACCTGGATGCAGCACCAACACAGTCGGGTCCGCAACAGAGGATACTTGCAGTTTTACAGGGAGACGCGGAGGCTGAGACAACTGCCGTTTGTCATACACTCAATAGGTACACCAACACACAAACTACTGTCACTGTGCTTTATGGAGATGTCTGTGTTTTCCAATAGGGGGCAGTAATGTGTTTCTTTTGTGAACAGGAAATGTTGCACTGATGGCTCTTATGGCCATGAAATTACCACAGGAAGTTCACATCTACCTGCTAATTGGAATTCTGGGATTGGAGCTAGTAGTTGCTGTTCCATTTCTTCTCTCCTACACAGGTAAACTTTCAAAATAGAAATGTGAGGATGAGATTTTACTCAGTTGTAGCTAGGACTGTGAACAGAAGACACGACTTAAGGTACATTGCTGAAAAGGTCATTAGCAAGTGGAAAAATGCAAGAAAGGCGGCAGTAAGATTTAAAAAAAACTGAAGTCTTATCAAAACACGTGTTATTCCTCCAAACAGGGTTCTGTAAACATTAACATCTCATTCTTCAGACTTCTAAACTGATCTTATCTAGTTTAACTTGAAACAAGGTCAACATCTCGTGATGTTTTGGAGCACAAGAGTCAGATTTCAGGGCTGTGAGACATTTTCTGTGTCAGCTTGTTTTAATCCAGTAATTTTTCAGTTTCCCAGCAGGTTTTGGCTGTAATATCAGCTAGCTTTAAACACAAAGAGAGGCACACCCTGCAAATTACATTAGACACAAACACACTCACCACCCCCACTCTCCCATGCATTTGCATCCCCCCCCCCCCCCCCCCCCCCGCTTTTGAGACTCGACAGCATGACAATCATCCATTCAGCTCCCTGTCCATCTTCTGCTGATCTGCTGAGTCTTTGCTCCTGACACAAACTCCAGGAAAAGCTCCTGCTTGCCCCAAACTGTGGAGCCGCAGTCAGTATTTCTCTTTGTGACGAGGGTCAGGAATTGGTAATGTTGAGTTTGTCTTCATTCGGAAAAGCCCTTGAGTGGTTTTGTTGGCAAAATAACAAAGTAAACAGACATTCACTAAAAAAAAACCTCCTTCTGTGGAAGTTGCAGGAGGCAAACTTACCTTTAGTTCAAATAAAAACAGCTTTTTATCATCTAATTATGAATTCCCCTTTAAAAAACATCATTTTACAGATAAAGACTTCCCAGAATCTCAGTAATTGTTAAATAAAAAGTAAGTTCTGCTTGTTTTGCCTGTTTTCTTAACAGGAAGTCTACCTTTAGTTTAGGGGTTTTGTATTTTCACGCGAGAACTGCTCTGGACAGAATAAAAACACAGACTTTGTGCACCAAGATTACACTAAAACTAAGCAAATCTCCTCTATATTTGCGCTGAAAGCTACAATGACATAGTGGGAAAACAGTTTTGCTTAAAACTAGGGCTGCACGATATTAGGAAAACCTGCGATATTCGATAACAGTGCTTAATATTGCGATATCGATATTACTCGCGATAAATGAACAAATACTAAAGTACGCAGTGTTGATGTCGTCTGGCGTGTGATGGCTGCTCTGGGTTCAAAGCAAACAAAAACTAATGCATGAATTCCATTACAACATAACATTTTTATTGCAAAAATATGCAGCTGCACCTGCTACCGTATTAGCAGCAAAACAACAAACTGCATGCATGCAGTTTCTCAGTGACTTTAAAACATCACCTCCACCACAAAACTTTCTGATGCTCCAAATATAGAAAAACATCCCTTACCAGGGTTTTAGAAAATAAGTTTAAATGTTAAATAATAGTTAACATCACTTAAATGCAACAGTAAATTCTCTCATTGCCACTGAGCATTTTCTCCACTTATGTGGTTATGATATAAGGCTGTTGCTGTAATTGGGAAGTGAACTGTGCTGGGCCAAACTAGGAGAACATTAAGATTTTCTGAGGGAAAGAGAAAAGCAATTGTTTACCTTTCAGAAGAGGAACTGGCAAAAAACTACATGGAAAAGATGTGAAAACGTTTGTTTTTAACCCCAAATTGAACAAGTTTACCTAGATCTTAAAAAGCAGCTCAGATGATGAAACTGCAACTATGATTCTGATAACAAGCTAACTAACTGAACTAGCTCCTCTAAGATAACTGGCTAGCAGAGCTTCTGACTGACAGTTTATGTGCAGCACCAAATCAACTATCCTCATTAACAAGGTTATAAAAGCTCATAAAGGAAAAATCACTTTGATGTGTGGGGGAACCTTTCCAGGCCCTCTCTAGCAGGGTGGGACTGGGAGGAGAGTGCTGTAGCCTTTTAGCTGGAAGCTAACCGGAGCCTGGGCTAACACTAGTGACATGAAGGTGGGTTGGTTCACCGGCACGTGTCGGAGTCAGCCCGGTAAAAATGATTAACGACACCGAGCAGAATCACGTTCACATTTGAAAGCAGCGCTGATTCCAGAAACCTGAGCACAAAGTGCGTTCGTTGCTCTGAGTCAGCATGACGAACAAGGGAACAGCGCCGCTAACTCTGTTCGGGTGTTGCTTTCCAAATGGATCTAAGGGGTGGTCGTATTATGTGAACAGAACCATCTGATTGGCCGCATATCCGAAGGACTACATTTGATTGGTCAAATAATACTTCCGCGTAAAAACAGAGCTGGTTTACAAAAAGGTGATGTTTTTTATTTACTTTTTTTTATTTGCACAAAATATAATGTACAACAATTATGGCAATCTCTACAAAGAATCAGTTTTACCGACATGAGATAGTACCAGAACAGGCTGAATTCCAACATATAGAAGAAGGATAATGAACAGGAAGTACAAACAACAACAAATAAATAAATAAAATAAAAACAAACCCCAAACAGAACAAATAAGCAAACAAATGAATACAAAGACAGATAATAAAAATAAAAAAAACATAAAAAAGTTATACCTTAGGGGCTTTCTAACAGATCTAGTTCAACAATCATATGATTCAAATCCAGGGCTTGTTTTTTGTCCATAAATTTAACAGATGAGAAAAGGAGGCAGAGTTCTTTGTGAAAAGTAAAAAAAGACGGCTTTGTTTTCAGAAAACGACATTTGTGAATGAAGAATTTGCCCATAATAATTATTACATTTAAAACATTTTCGAGCTTCTTTTCTTTTCTTAGAGAACCAAACATAATATCATTTTTAGAAAATTCAAGTAAGTTTGGGATCTTAGGGAAGAGCCAGTAGTGCACATCGTTCCACAGGGCTTTACAGAATATACAGTCATAAAATAAATGTTCTGTTGATTCAATATCCCCATTACAACAAGAGCAACAATTATCATCAATAGCGAAGGGACGTCTGAGGAATTCTTTGGAAGGGTAAACACCAGAGAGGATTTGGTAGTGGACCTCCTTAGCTTTGGGAGGAATGGGAAGTTTTAGGTAATTTTTTCTGATTTTTTTCTTTTGATCACCGGAGAACAGATGTGAGATGGCATTTGGATTGGATATATAAGGGAAAAAAAAACATTAGTAAATAATTCCCTAATCTGGGAGTTTTTTAGACTGTTAGCTGTTATGTTATGCCCATTTACCAACAGTTCAGGGCAATCAGGGGATCTATAGTCAGGGTTTTGAAAAAGATTATATGCTGTACATAGAATGATTTGAGGGATAGCCTTAGTAATTTTTTGAAATTCTTTGTTATTTATTTGCAGATCATAATTGGTGGTAAAATCTTCTAATAAAATTTTACCTCTATCATTTAACAAGTGCATCACTGACCAGATGCCCTTATCGTACCAATTTTCCATAAAGATTGATTTGTTTCCAACTGTTATGTAACAACAGTTCCATAGGGGAGTGTTGTGTGGGCTATAGTTATGTTTGTATATTAATTTCCAGTATAATAAAACTTGCTGGTTAAAGGAAGAGAGCTTTATGGGGAGTTTTTTTATGTCAAAGTCACATCTAAGTAAGAGATTAAATCTGCCTAGATCTGAGAATATTTTGCTTGGAATGTGAAACCAAATGCTATTTTGACTTCTTAAAAATGACCTAAGCCAATTTATTTTTAGGGTGCCGTTTAAGCTGTCAAATTCAATAGCTTGCAAACCTCCATCTTCAAACCGTTTGACTAAATTACCTTGCCTAATGTAGTGGGTTTTGCGTTTCCATATAAAATCAAAGTTTAGCTGGTTGATAGTTTTGATTGCTGATTTAGGCACTCCTATCGCATATGCAGGGTATACTAGCCTGGAGATACTTTCCATTTTGGTAAGAAAAATTCTACCTAGAATCGATAAGTCTCTCTGAGCCCAGTTATTTAAATGAGTTCTACAGGTTTGAATTTTCTCCCAAATATTAAGGTTATCTAAATCATTCTTATTCTTGGTTATATACACACCCAAATATTTGACATGGATTTAACAGGAATATTAAAAGTGTTAGAAATAGTACAATCATTTAAGCGTAAGATCTCACATTTGTTTAAATTCAGCTTTAACCCTGAAGCTTTCGAGAAAGTTTCAATAATCTGCAGGATTTTGGGGATTTCATTCAGGTTATTTAGGAAAATAGTTGTATCATCGGCTAACTGGCTGATAGAGAGCTCTTTACCCAGGATAGATATCTTACCAAACTCAGCATTTTTAATCAGTATGGAAAGCATTTCTGTTGCTGCGATAAACAACAATGGCGAGATTGGACATCCTTGTTTTATTCCTCTGCAAATCCTAAATCTTTGTGAGGTGCCGCGTGGAAGACACACTGAACTGTTAGTATCTCTATACAGTAATTTGATTAAATTAATGAAGTTACCTCCAAAACCGAACAAATCAAGGGCCTGAAACATAAATTCATGTTCTATCATGTTGAAGGCTTTGTAAAAATCTTAAAAAAAAGGACAAAACCCTGGTTTTCAATTAGGTAGTTGTAGTCAATCAAGTCCAATATAAGGCGGATATTATTATGGATTGAGCGACCTTTTATAAATCCAGACTGAGTGTCAGAAATAATTTGAGTTATGCCCGATTTTAACCTGTTTGCAAAAATATGTGTTAGAAGTTTATAATCATTATTCAATAGAGTAATTGGTCTTAAATTATCAAGAAGAGTCGGATCTTTCCCAGGTTTAGGTATGAGTGTAATTACCCCTTGTTTCATAGTGTGTGTGAGAGACCCATTTTCTAAAATTTCTGTGAGCATTCCAAACACAAGGCTTCTAATATGAACCCAAAAATGTTTGTAAAAGTTGCTGGTCAAACCATCACAACCTGGCACTTTATCTTTGGGTAAAGCATTTAAAGCTCTATCTAACTCTTCAATGGTAATTTTGCCCTCACAGGTCTTTTTAAAA